TAAACCAAAATCCACAAACAATAATTCAACTTTAAAATAATAAGATTGGAATTTGCAAATAAGGGTGGATCCACGAAATGAAATATACTTGAATTTAGAACTAAAACAACGATTGTTTTACTTCATTTTATTCACTAAGATTTTTTTAAAACAAAACATCATATAGAAAACCACACAAGAACAAAAATGTCACAAGATGAAGTTAAACGAAGTCTACAAAGTACCGTATAGTGATATACCCGATTGGCTTTACGTCCCAAACCCATGAGAAAGTTGTCGGGTTTTATGTCACGGTGAAGAAAGCCCCTCGAATGCATATATTCGACTCTATTAATCTAAAAAGCAACTAAAAGAATTAATGCAAGATATAATAAAAATGGAAGCTCATTGAGCCGAGGCAAATAACTTCCTCAAAGAAAAGTAGGTAGACACATACCAACCGATCCGCAAGCATCAACACTCGTTTTCAAACAAAACTTTCGATTGCGGTAGTTGAATAAGTCTTCAAGACTTGGCCCAGAAGATCAATAACCATGACGTTGTACTCACCCTCGACACCAAACCACTTGAGTTGAGGAATTCCCACTTGCATATAAAATAAATGAGACAACCATTCGGTTGTCGTGCAAAAATGGCATCTATCACTTATTATAGGTTATAGTACCACATTAAGAATAACAAGAAAGAAAGATAAAGAGGACTTACTTCCTCCTTGGAGAAGCGTGTAAATTTTAGACTCATAATGCGAGTCGAGGGTGCTTGCTTCTTATAGGTTCCTTAAAATGGACGAGAGAAAAGAAAATAAATGTTGAGAGCTTGAGAAAGATAAATGTGTTCTTCGATAAAAATACGGATAAATCAATAGATGAATCTCAATATGTTTTTTCATTCAAGTGCTACATAACTTAAAGTCTTGATATTCAATTAAATACACTTCATAAAAAAAAATGACTTAATTATTTCCATGAAAAACAATGCCTTCTCGATAATGGTAAATGAAGAATCTTATAAAGGTTAGGATTAGTTGAAATTTGTTGCCAAATTAATGCTTGTGCATGCCATAACATCGACTTCTTCAACTACCTTCTTGCATTAAACTACAAATGATACTATCAAATTAAATTCAAATCAAATTGAACCAAACATACTTCTTCAAAAATGAAAAAAGAAAGAAAGTCAATTCGAGGCAAATTGCATATCGGATGGCCATTTAGAAGGCAATGAGAAAGAATCCTCACTCCAAAATTTTCTTCCATTTCATGTACTTCTTTAGCAATCAATGCCCAATAAATTATATTTCTAATATAAAAGATGAAAATAAGGTGCACCAAAATTACAATTTAAAAAAAAAAAGAACATTATTCAAATACCGACTTTATACCAACTTCCTCTCCATTACGCACATCAACCCTCGTACCAATTAAAACCATTAGCGACCATTAGTTTCTTTCAAAACAAGATTAATGCAATTACATAATAAAATGAGAAGAAGGATAAGAATTGCTAACCAAGAAAAATCTCCCCGAAAGATCCACCACCGATCTTTCTACCCATTTTGAATTTTCCTCCAACAATATGATCCATAATTTATATAACCAATTGAGGAAAACAAGTTAAGAGATTCTTTATATTTTAACACCCTATAAGCCGAATCTTTTTTGAATGGCAAAATTTTTGGAAAACAATCAATAGAAAAAGAATTCAAAAAAATAACATAAGAAGAAAATAAGAAATCTTTTACCGGTATCAATCAATGTACAACAACATAATAATGAAGATCATACAAAATCAAAAATAAAAACTCAATAAAAGATTTATTCCAAAAAAAGAAATAACCATATACAAGCACCAATGTCTAAATTAATGACATCAAAAAAATTTGACTTCGAAATTAAAAAAAAAAAAACCCAAATGGGCAAAAATTAAAGGTGAAAAACAGAATGAGAGGAAGAGAGTTAACTTGAACAGAAAAGCATTTTGCAAAAGTTATTTTGTCTTATCATTTTCTTTTTTTTTCCTCCCTCTTTTGACAATCACCATAAAAATTCTTTTTGATGATAATAAAAAAAGAAAAAGAAAACAAGAACCAAAACAACGAAACAAGAAATATATTTACAACTCTCTCTCTCTCTCTCTGTTAATTCATGGTTAAAATATTTCTCAACAAAAAAAAGTTAAAAAAAAAAATCTATGGTTAAGAGAAGGAAGTAGGCTAAAAACACTCATATTTAGCAGCTCCTTACGCGTGTCTCTCTTTTTCCCATTGGAAAAAAAAAACAGGTTAATGTTTCTCGACATACTTTTCCTTTGATGTTCAAAAGATTCCTCCATTGTTTTTTATTTTAACATCATCCCTGTACTTTACATTTATATCATTGTTAAACTCTTCTACCAGTTTGCATCGTGGATGCCGTTAAAATCTGGCATGCGGCAACATACATTTTTTCACAAATGTACATTTTGGTTCCTAAATGTTTTTAAATAATTTACTTTGGTTCCTTTTTATTTTTTTAACAAATAAGTCCTTATTTGAATTATTTTGGTCCTCATACTTTATAATAAACACAATTTAATCTCCAAATAGTTTTTTAATTAAATCCTTACATATCAAATAGTAAATTTGATCGAAATTATCATATTATTTTAGATATATAAAGTGCTTTTATTTTTATTTTTTTCATATTATTTTAGATATGATATTTTTTTAATAACCTAACAACAATAATTCAATACCTACATAATCAATTTTTTTTAAAGAAAATTCTTACAAAACTAAATATGTCAATTTAATTCTCTCACACCATACATAAATCAATCAATTCATCGTGAAACAACAAAATCACAATATGTGGGTAAGTGTTAAAAAAGTCGGAAAGTGAATTTTATCTCAAATAGTAATTAGTTCTTGAACTTTTTGATAATATTTATTTGATTAGATTGATTGAATGAAAGTGATTATTTTTTAATTATTATGATTGATATTATTGTGATTTTGTTAATTTTTATTTTATATAATATTATATATCTACCACAAGAATTTTAACAAAATTTACGATTTGACTTACAGAGATTTAATTGAATAAAAAATTATTTAAAGATTAAATTGTATTTATTATAAATAAGATGACCAAAAAATTTTCAATTGAGGATTTATTTGTAATAAAATAAAAAGGACCAAAGTAAAAGTTTAAAAAAATTTTAAGAACCAAAATCTACATCAGTGAGAAATTTCATGCTTCTACGAGTTAGATCTTAACGCGTTAGCAAAACCAACTGACAAAAGACGGTAATGATCACCAGAATTCAGTATGTGTGGATAATATTAAGATAAAAAATAGTTTTTTTTTAAAAAAAACCTTTTAGATACAAAAGGAAAGGTACATCGACGTAAGAAATTATTAATCCATTGTGGAAAAAAAGGGTCTTTTCTATATGTCATATAACAACAGGGACAAAAATGAAATTTGCATGTCTGTTCTTGCAGACAGAAGTAACTTTTTATTTCTCAAGTGAAGCGCAAACAGCAGGGAATCATCTCTCTTTCCACTTACAGGTACTGTTATTTCCACTTGCGAAGTTCAGTTCTTTGGTTTCTTTTTGGCGGACTCTTTTTGTTTCACTGAAAGTTCAAAGCTTTGAAGAAGCCCATGATTTTAATAGAGATTTTATTCATGCTGATATCTATGATTATCATGGACTATGAAAGCTGTTTTATTTTATAGAATCCATAGATGGAATCTTATGCCATTGTCACAGTTGCTTTAGAATGATATTGGTTTGTTATTAATGAGAGACGTTTGATAATTTTAATATAGAATTATTGATTCCGAGGGCCAAAATGTTAAGAGTAATTTTAAGGGTTGGGATTGAGTTAAAAGGATCAGAGGAGAGAGGATTAGGGTTTACTTGCATGTTGTATTAATAGGGGTTTTGAGTTTATTGTTGGAGGAGCTCTCTGGTTTTGAAAAATATCGGGGATTAATTTTTCCTGAGGCCTTCCTGGTGCTTCTCTTGGTGGAAAAGATTGCAATTGAAGGGTCTAGTTTTTTTCTTTTTGGTTAGTGGGAAACTACCATTGTAAGTTGCGAAAAGGGTTAAAGTACATAAATAGAAAGGCAAGGAGTCTATCGGGGCTGTGTGTCTTGAGTTTTCTCCTTGAAGGTATAATCCCTAGCCTGCTTTGCTTAATTCTTGAGCTTGCTTGTGGTGTTGATGTTGATTTTATTTTATTTTGCACTTTAACATAAAAGTTTGGTGGTATATGCTTGTTTTGCTGGGTTTGGCTTTGTGGATTTGAATTGATTGGAATGTTCATAATAATTGCTAAGTGAGTCCTGTATGGAGGTTGAAACCAAGTTTTGATGAATCTTGCTCAGTTAGTGGGTGATAAACACGTTTGTATTTATTTATTTGTTTAGAGGTATGGGTTTTCTAGTCCCCTCAAATGCATAGATCTGTGGTGAACAATGGGATAGAGTCTGCTATCTTTTCTTTTCTTTTGTTTTGTTTTGTTTTTTTTTTTTTTTTTTTTGAAACTAACGTTATTGCTGGAATTCTCGGCTGTCATGTTAATCATTAAAGATGTCTAGCTTTAGGATTTAGCTCATGCATGTGTGGTTGAAGGTCTGTCAGGGACTAAGTTCTGATTTTGATTTATTCGTGATGTCATGACTGCTTTGCTGAGCCATTAAAACCAGGTTTATATCCTCGATTAATTTCCTCTACATGTCTAGGTAGTTGAATGAATAGAGCAGTCTTCTTTTTTTTTTTTTCCCTTTGAACATGAAAGCTGTTTTACTGTTATTGGGGTTTTGCCTAATTGATTTTTTCCCCTATTGTTGAAACAGTTGTCTTCAATTTTCTTTCGATGGTTTTTCTTAAATTACGTGGGTGTTCCTGTGACTTGTTGACATCAGTCTACAAAATGTATGTAAATGTACCCATCTGTTTGTAATTGCCTTTCTGCTACTTTATGGCAGTTTCTTGTCAACCCAACAGAGATGAGAGAAGAATCTATGACTTCAAAAGGAAACAGTTTGAAACTTTTGAATGAATTTGAGCTCATTTTGGAGTCCGATCCTCTCATGTAAGAATTTTATAAATGTGTGTTCATATATGTGTGATTATTTCTTGCCCTTTTGCACTATGAGTATGCATTTGACGCTGTTGGTTATTCTTGAATATAGTGATGAATTAGGATTTATTCACCCATCCCAATTTGTGACATTAAATAAAGAAGCGGCCAGCTCCTTGGAACATGAAGATGCAAATTTTTGGAGCAGAGATCATAAGCTTGCAATTTCAACCGATGTTCTCCTTCCTCTGTATAAAGTGGCCAAAGATGCATTTTTGTATGCAATTAGCCAATATAAGAGGCATGAGAATCGATTGGATGCATCTTGGGATGAGAGTAATCTTGAAAGTGAGGTCATGAAGCATAGCAAGGCGCTTTTATTGTTAAGCTGTGATTTTGGGACTGCATGGAATTCCAGGTATTTCTAGCTTTCTGCTTTCGCAATTTTATCTGTATAATTTTTGTGTGTGCACGTGCTAATATTTAATTATTTTCAACCTGTTGCTTATTTTTACCATGAACCCATGATCATGATGTTTGTTCCTCGTACTTGTCATGCAGGAAGTTAATTGTGTCAAAGAAGCAGCATATGTTGATATTTTTGGAGGAACTTCTCTTGTCAGCCCTTGTCCTTTCATACTCCCCCAAAAGTGAACAAGCATGGTGCCACAGGTAACATTTATAAGCTACTCTTTCTCATTCTTAATATGATGATACTTTTTATTTTTATGTTTGTGATTGTCCACCAAGATATTTTTGTAATTCAATAATTATTAAAATTTTCATCTAGTGTATTTAGGCATAGTTGTCTTCAAGGAGAAAACCCAATTCTTATGGATGTATCAATAAATTGGCAGGCGGTGGGCGATCAAGATGATATCTGGAAAATGTTCAACTTTGCAAGATATAGTAGGGAAAGAATCTGAGCTTGTGGAGAAAATAGCTGAGGTTTAAACTGGATGCTATTAATTGATGAAGGTTTATGTGAAATTTGATAGCAGAAACTATCATTATTCTTGTATCAGTTGCATTTTAGTTTGTTTCTTCTAACCCTTCAGAGAGACATCAGAATAAGCTTTTTTAAATGGAGAATTGCACAGTAGATAACTTACAATATGAATTTGTGACATCAGAATAAGTATATATCTTCCCACAATGGCTGTTGATTGGGCTTTATGAACCATGTTACTGCTCCCTGTTTGTTTGTATCTGCTAGTGGTCAAACTAATTATTTTTGGCACACAATGCATGAAAAGTTATCCCCTAAACTATGTGATGAGGAGTGCACCTGTGAGGTGTGGTCTTAATATGATTCCTGCCAACTTGTTTTGCAGAGATCAAAAATGAATTATCGTGCATGGAATCACCGTTGCTGGTTAGTTTCATACATGACAAGAGAACAGGTCACTATACTCACTTTGTATCGATGCTTTAGAATATAGCAAAACATTTTTGGGCCAACCTTGCCCCCTTAAATCTGCTTTGTAATATTGCATGCTAGCCTTCATATCTTAGATTATCACTATAGTAAACTATCTTGGCTTTTTTTTTCCTGGTTTTGGACAGTTTCCTATTGAGTTGTTCTTGTTAGATTTGAAAACTATCAAGTTTTAGTTATTGTACGTAGTTTTTTTTTGAATTGTATATGAATCCACTGTGCCTGTAGGTGCTGCACGAGTTGAAAAAATCCAGAAATTGGGCTGGATTACATGTTGCTGATAATTCTTGCTTTCACTATCGCACTGTGAGTTTTCCTCTCAAACTTTTGAGCCTGATATTGAAGACTTCAAAGCAAAGAAAAACCCCCTGAAAAAGCAAATAAACAGTTTTGGCGGTGGGGGTGGGGACAACTATCACAGTTCTTCCAATGAAATCCAATACCTATTTGAAAAAACAATGTCAAAATTTCTTGATCAGTTTTCATCAAATTGCAGCGGCTGATGCTCAGGGTCAGGGAGGAGTGCTGCCATAAACTTGAAGATGAAACGTCTGATGGCAATGATGAAATTTATCAAATCTGGCAGGTATAATATTTCTGCACACTGTTCATCAACCACTACTAATTTTCTGAAGGCTTGTCTGCTCTTTTTTTGTTTTTCTAGAGCATTTATGTTCATATGTGGCTAATTTTTGGTACCTTTCCAAATACATCATCTCACCATTAATTCTTCTGAGTTTTATGAATATGGAAATGGGAATATTATGGCCTTTTCTTTTTATGTTTTACATTTGCCTCAAAATCAACTTAGCAGTTTCCTTTAAATTCCTTGCTAGTTTGGCTAGTTTGTAATAGTCTTTCTTATGCAAAATTATTGGTTGCGATGTTGGAGACAAGCTTTCTTTCTTCTATTTTTTTTTTTATTGGACATGGAGATACCAAAATAACATTATTGAAGCAAATTCACCCTTTTGAGGAAAATCCTTTAGCAAAAATCCATAAAATGTTTTTGTTCCACATTTAACTGGGTTTTATTTGATACTTTGATTTTAATGCTGCGGGTACATGACAGGAGGAGCTTGATTGGAATGAAGCATTGATTAAGCGCTATGTAGGAAGAGAGGTATGTCTAACACAATGTGGGGCAACATGTTTAAGAAATTCTTTATTGATGCATTTGTTTTAATGTTTTATCTTTTCTTATTCCCCTCAAGCAAAATGAAGGTGACCAATTTCTGCAAAAATGCTTGATAGTTCCTCCTAAACATGAGTGGTCAATGTCATATCTTCTAATACTTATTTCTATCTCTTTCAGGCTTTGTGGCTTCATCGTCGTTTCCTCTCCTTGTCTTGGATAAGGCATTTCACAACTAATCTTGGTGATACATCTAACCACCGTGTATGTAAATCCAGCATAAATGCTGACATTGGTATCTTTATGGATAATGAGTCACGTCTTGCAAACTCCTGCTCGATGGTACCTGATAATGACTTTGAGGATTTTCAAGCACAAGCAATATATTCCGCAACTTATATATTATGGCTTGCAAAGGTAGAGCATGTGTCTTCACTTTAACATTTTGCAAGACTGTTTGAATGGCCTATCTCAATTGGTTGAGTGCTAACACTACTTTTGTTCTTTCATCAGCAAATCTCCGATTCGCAGGGAATTGAACTCCTAGAAAAGCTAAATGTTGGAAGCTTGAAGACCATGCTGAATATGGCATGTCCTGAAAGATCGTCTCTATGGGACATCTTAAATGGATAACTGGGAAGTGTGACGAGGGTTTGAAGGAGAATAAATATTAACTTCGACAGATAAATCTGTTATACAGTGTTTGGACCATATTCTTTCTACGTTGCTCAGAGGGTAATTGTTGTATACTTTCAGCTTTTATGAAGAAATACCACAAGAGCAAGAAAAATAAAACTATGGTGAAGTAACATGAAGTAATTACTCAGGTTGGGACTTAATCCAAAGCTTAACCCCTTTTTCTTTACAAGCCTGTTGGCGTGAAGCATGTGATTCCTCAAGGCTCAAACTCTAGTGTCTGTGCTCTGTCTTGCGACCTAGCATCGTTAGGGATAAACTGAATTATGGTAGGCCGACACGCTATATCAAAGTCTTCAAATGTCGAAATGCAAAATCCTGCCAGATTGCAAACTATTGGCCTCCTTGTGTGATCATTACGGCAAATTCTACAATGCCTTCTCCTAAACGGGAAGCCATTCCAAATGTAATGCCTTTTTGTTTTTTGTTTTTTTGTTTTGTTGTGTTTTGTTTTGTTTTTTTTTTTTTCCTATCCTTTTTCAGAATTCAGTGTGTTTATAACAATCTTCCTTTGGATTTTGGAAACCTCGTAATGCCATTACTAAATAACATCCGAACTTGATGACCAAGTCAGTACTTGTGTGGCGTATAATTGTCCCAAAAAGGCACAGTAGAAGCCACCCTCAACTCAAACTCAGGAGAATCTAAAGATGCTTAAGATGTCCATCAAAAAGATCCCAAGATGAAGGTGGTACTGGTAGCGTGAGACTGAAGTATATCCAACGACAAAATGCCTTGAACCGTCCAAGCGACATGTCATGTACAATAAAACTTAAACGACATGTATTGTCCATTTTTTAACTTCTTAACCATCACATATGCCAACGGAAAAACAGCCGTCTGTGGGGCTCTGGGTCATCTACTGCCAATTATCCTAAGACCTTGCACCCATGATGTTCCTTATCCATAGCGTATGCACTGTAATCCAATTTGACAAAACTACATCCTTAAAATTGCTGTACGAGACTCAGATGTCCAAAAACAAACACCAAAACACCATCTATAAACAATTGCCAAAATTTCAAGTTTCTCACTTTTTCCTTGCAAATTTCCAGGTACTCTCTATTCTTCTCTGCCTAGCTAGTCCTTTTGCAAAATGGTAATCCATGGACATTGAACAATAGCAAAACCGTTGACATGAAAATATTTTCCACTGAGCTTATCACCCATAGTTATAGCTTTCCGTTCACTAGCAAACATCTAAAGTCCACCTTACATTCACTTCAAAGGAATGTAGTTAGCTGCATAAACCTTAATCATAACGACACTAACCGCCACCTTGGAAACCCACCAAAAGTGAGGAGGGTTTTACATGAAACAAAACCAACCCATGCTTTATCTTATGATTTCAAAGAAACCCATTTGATGAAACTGCTGAACAGGTCTTGTAAAGCAGGCAAGTATAATGAGTCACTCTACTTTCTTGATTGTATGGTTGCTAAAGGCTATCAACCCGATGTTATTTTGTGTACTAAGCTCATTAAAGGGTTTTTTAATTCAAGAAATATAGAGAAGGCCACTAGGGTGATGGGGATTTTGGAGAAGCACGGTAAACCTGATGTTTTTGCTTATAATGCAGTGATCAGTGGGTTTTGTAAGGCTAATCGGATTGAAAGTGCCAAAAAAGTGCTTGATAGGATGAAAGCCAAGGGATTTTCGCCAGATGTTGTTACGTATAATATAATGATTGGGAATTTTTGTAGTAAGGGGAAGATTGATTTGGCTTTAAAGGTTTTTGAAGAGTTGTTGAAAGATAATAATTGTAAGCCAACTCTTATTACGTACACAATTTTGATAGAGGCATACATTCTTGAAGGTGGGATCGATGAAGCTTTGAAGCTTTTGGATGAGATGTTGTCAAGAGGGCTTGAACCAGATACATTTACTTATAATGTAATGATTAGAGGGTTGTGCAGAGAGGGGAAGGTTGACCAAGCTTTTGAGCTCGTTAGGACCTTGAATTCTAGGGGTTGTAAACCAGATGTGATTACATATAATATATTGTTACGAGCATTGTTGAATCAAGGGAAATGGAACGAAGGGGAGAAATTGATGAGTGAGATGTTTTCAAGAGGTTGTGAGCCTAATGTTGTTACATATAGCATTTTGATTAGCTCGTTGTGTCGTGATAGGAAAATTGAGGAATCAGTGCACTTAGTGAAGGTTATGAAGGAAAAGGGTTTGACTCCGGATGCCTATTGTTATGATCCATTGATTGCTGCTTTCTGTAGAGAGGGAAAATTGGATATGGCAATTGAGTTCTTGGATTACATGATCTCTGATGGTTTTTTGCCAGATGTTGTGAACTACAATACAATAATGGCTGCTCTGTGTAAGAAGGGAAATGGTGATCTTGCTGTGGAAATATTTGGAAAGCTACATGAAGTGGGTTGTCCTCCAAATGTCAGTTCTTATAACACAATGTTAAGTGCATTGTGGAGTTCTGGAGACAGATATAGAGCCTTGGGAATGATATCGCAGATGCTTAGCAAAGGAATTGATCCAGATGGGATAACTTATAATTCACTTATTTCGTGTTTGTGCAGAGATGGAATGGTGGATGAAGCTATTGGACTGTTGGCAGACATGCTAAGTGGCAGGTTCCAGCCGAACATGGTCAGCTATAATATTGTTCTTCTTGGGTTATGCAAAGTACATAGAATTGATGATGCTATTGAAGTGCTAGCAGCAATGATTGAAAATGGTTGCCAGCCAAATGAAACTACTTACACGCTGTTGATTGAAGGTATTGGTTTTTCTGGATCAAGAGCTCAAGCAATGGAATTGGCTGATTCTCTTTACGGCATGAGTGCTATTTCTGAAGATTCATTCAAACGTTTGAACAAGACCTTCCCTTTGCTTGATGTTTACAAAGGCCTCATTTATCCGGATGCTAAGAACTAGTTTCTGCTGTTCTTTTGCCTAATGACCATATCAGATGTTCTGAATCCTGTCTATGTTCTTTGCACGACCTTAAACTTACAAGGAACAAAAGGCAATAAGGATTTCTACACTGACTGATATGTTATATATTTTCATGGTATTTGAAGGAAAAGGCATTCGTCACTGGTTTGTTGAGGCATAACATTAAAGTCCACAGTCGAAAAGTAGCTTATATCAGGTACAACATAAGAGCTTGAGACTTGAGGTGCTCTTCTGTATTCTTTGGACTAACAAGCCACATTCTACCTGTAATGTTAGTAATATGAAGAGAAGATTCACCTCTTGAAAAATTGAATACAAGAGAGCAATGCTGTAAATTGTAATATGTGTAGATTTCACCTCTGTACTTAACGGGGGGTTTTTATAGAATGTGCTGGTAACAGGCTTTAGCATTTGTGCTTCGAACTTGTACCTGAGTTCTATTTCGTTTCTTGTGTTTATTTATTTATTTATTTTTCTCTGGAGAGGAATACCTGAGTTTTTTTATTATCCTGTCATGAGGAAATTCCTAGTCATTGTTTCTATTTTATCCAGTTAAAATAACTTGTTCTCTCTATACATATGTGATGAACAATATTATCTGACCAAGTACGTTTTTATTTTTGACACTAGCACTACATGGCTTGAAATGATTCCGATGATTACTGATAGAAAAAACCTTATTTACAGGCATTGCATTATCAATATAGGCTACATTTCAACAAATCCAAAGCCTAAATTTCGTGGCCTTTACTTTCTAATCAAAATGAACTCTGAAGGCATTCGATTGAATTCCTATAACGATAGCAAAACCAGTGGCCTGCAGTATGTGCTAGAGGATTGTTGCTACTCTGTCGCTTATTCGTTTGCCTTGGGTAAAGGCGACAGATCTTCAGAGCAGACAACTGCTTGCTTATTGGATATTGGCCATGTCGCTTCTTCTTCTTCTTCTTCTTTTTTTTTTTTCTTTTTTTTTTCAAGTATTGGCCTACTGGGAGAGGTTACATCATTTGTTGAATACATGTGCTAGGAAAGACTTCGAGACTCCATAGGAATTAAACAGTGCCTTTACGCCCTACGGCAATTTCCCGAACATATACTCCATCAGGCCTTGCATAGGAATTATCATAAACTTCAGAACCATTGATCCGACTACAAAAAATGCAGGTAGAAATATAAATCAGCATGCAAAGAAAGCTTCAATGCGGATGAAACAAACAAGTTTCAACACATCTAAATCTGCAAAAACAAGTAGCAGTAAGTTGACTTCAGAATAAAGTACAACAATGCCACCACTACGTTGCCTGACAAGTAAAATCTACAATATTTTACACATCCCGGTATACCTACCAATGGTTCCAAGTGATGGTACATCATCACTCCCGAAATGGTTTGTGGCATTAGAGAATCGATCCAAAAAGTATCTCAATATGACATATGGCACCTAGCTTCCATTGTGTCTACTGTACAATTTCCAGCAAAAATAGCTGGCTCTCTTTTTGCCAAAAACAGGGGCATGAGTTTGAAATCTTCCATGCAAGTGTGGTTAATCCATTATGGTTTGTTCTCTAAAAACCTTTCTCTCTATCAACTTCTTATGCAATTCATTAGCCTCTTCAATCATACCAGCATCAGCCACACTTTTAATTAAAGTAGAATAAATTCCTTCATCTGGCTTGTATCGACCTGAGATCATCATTTCTAGGACTTGTATTGCAACATCTACTTTCTTATTTCTACATAATCCATTGATTACCAATCCATAAGCACTACTATTGATCCTGTGGTCTCTCTTTCCCATCTCCCTCAATATCTCCACGGCATCCTCAACTTGATCTATCCAGCAAAACCCCCAAACCAAAGACCGGTGGGTGATACCATCAGGAGCAATCCCTTTTTCTATCATTTGATTGTATAATTTCATTGCTTCATCCATATAGCCCCTCCTAGTCAATCCATCAATCACAGTGTTGTAAGTTATTAACACAGGAGAACAGTTGCTATCACTCAAGAAGACAAATACTTGAAGGGCCTCATCCACCATTCCTTCTTTGCATAGTGCAGCAAGGAGAGTATTGTAAGTTATAATGTCCGGAGAACAATTTTCGGAAACCATTTGAACAAAAAAGTTAATTGCACGCTCCACAAGCCCACATTTGCACAACCCATTGATCAGAATGTTGTAAGTAACCACTGTTGGAGGATGGGAGGTTTCTTTCATGATTGCAAGGATCTCGTCTACTTCATCCCATAATTGACAGCTACAAAGAGAATGGAGGAGGCTGTTATAAGTTATAGCATTGGGTTCCATCCCATGAGACAGAATGTTGTATATAATCAAAGCTGCATCCTCATACTTTCCCTTTTTACAAGCAAAATTAACCAATGAATTGTAGGTAACAAGATCTGGATAACAGCCCTCGATTGCCATATCTTCCAATACTTCCAGGGCCAGAGCAGTTCCACAATGCTTCCAGACTAGCTCAATGAGGATTGTGTAAGGTATTAGATAAGGAAGGCATCCCCTCCTTAACTGCCCCTTCCAGAATCTAACAGCTTGATCAAGTTTTCCACTATCAAACAAGCTGCGGATTATTGTATTGTAAGTGATCACATCTGGAGGGCAACCACTCAAGCTCATGTCTTCCAGCAGATCAATGGCAGATCTAAATTGTCTTCTCTTACAGAAACCTCCTACCATCATGTTGTATGTAATAATATCCGGAACTAAACCAGACATGACCATAATTTTAAGAACCCTGGAAGCTCTTTCTATCCGACCAATTCTGATAAGGCCCCTGATTAAGTTTGTGGAGCAAGTGGAGTTAGGAATTTGGTTTCTACGTGACATAATATCTATCAGTTTTGATGCGTCCATCAACCTGCCCCTTTTGCACAAATTCTGAAGGATTTCATTGTTGGCTTCCTCATCATTTTCAACAAGGGGTCCGTCAGCAGACAATATTGAAGCTCCATGATTCTTTGAGGTTATTTCCACTTTGAATTCTCTCCCAGTACCTGATATATGACTTCTGAAGCTCCACTCATCTTGATCATTTTCATCGACTCTATCAATGCTGACACTCCTTCGCACTCCTCTGCACTGTAAAGGAAACAAAGTTCTTCCAGACCCAAGAAATTCTTTCCCTTGCCAATACAACTGATTTCCGTGACTGCAATTCATTGAACAATTTGGATAAAAGGTCCACCCCTTCAATGTTGAGCAACTACCTATACCGACACCAGGCCCAGCTTGACTAGACCACCATCGCAAGCCTTGCAAACAATGAACCTCAACCATAGAGTTCTGCAGGGAAACTGTAAAACCCATCTTGTTCAACCTGCTTAAATATAATTATCACTGTGATTTTACAAGGACATACAAAACATGCATTCAATGACTAGCACCTTCATTTTAATTGTTCATCAGAGAGAAGGGGATTGGTTTTTCCCAAGACAGGACAATTGATCAGCTGCTTAATGCATCTACCAACAGGGATTCTTCAAATTTCTCCAAAATTTTCTCCCCTGCATCAGTACAGAAGAAAAACTTATCATTACTAGTATCAAGAATCTCAAAAATAGTAAATGAATACAAGGAAGGTAAATCAAGAATCAAGCAAAAAAAAAAAAAAAATTCAAGGAAGACAGAAAGAAAATGAAAAATGCAATCAAAATGCCTGGGAAATAAATACTTCACTGGGGAAACCAGGATTGGACCAGAATGAAAAGTTGTTACACTCTTGAAAGGAAACAAAAATTTAGAATGTCAGTTTACAAGATCAAAATCACAACCATTCTGTTTTATATATGATCATATTAAACACAGTTAAGTCAAACCCAACCTCATTCCCCGAGCGGAGTCACTAAACATCAAGCCTATATTAGACTAAAAAAAAATTTCTTGGCTCATGAGGATATCAAATTCTCAAACTTCACATAAAAAAAAAAAATTATATGTGTCACAGCTCACTGAACTTCATTCGATAGCACAAGTGGGATCTGCCAGTTCACTGAACGTCCTCTCACAAGCCAATGTGGAGCTAATCAGTAATTGTTCTTTTAACTGTGGAACTCAGTTTCTCAAGTGGTTTCTTTCCAGTAGCAAGCTCTAGCAGAGAATGCCAAAGCTGTATACATCACAGTTCTCAGATGCTTTTCCAAGCATAGCATATTCAGGGGCAAGGTAGCCAAGTGTACCTTTAACCCTTGTGGTTACATGTGTTGCACCATTGAGGATTAACTTTGCAAATCCCAGATCAGCAACCTGAGCCTGGAAATCTGAGTCTAGTAACACATTGCTAGATTTGACGTCGTGTGGATGATATGGAGGGTTGCATGAAGGTGAAGATAACTGGGAATAAGTTATATGTGTTTTCCAAGCATAAGCCCAATCTAATGGCCTCTTGGATGTTTACTTGATGATGCTTTTAAAATATAAAATTGGCAACCTTCAAAACTATAATTAATTGAAGCAACAACAAAAAACACAAGTACACACATATAGTTGTGTGTCATAGATAGATGAAGAGTTCACCCTCATTTATATGCAAAGCCTCAAGAACCTGTGTGTCATTCAGTTCCCTTCACTAGAATTAACTTCACATAAAAAAAAACCAAAAAAACAAAACATAAATTCTCTCAACTCATTATACTCATACTTCTAAGAAACAGTTGAGAAGATGTCAAACCAGAATCCTAATCATTTTTAGTCAAAACGGAAACAAAAGCCAAAACACAGAAACATATTGAGAGAGAAGCTTAGCCACTGAAACCCCACAAATAAGAACCCGTTGCAGAATGGTAGCATAAGAACCATTATAGTTGAAATTTTGACTGAATTTAACGCATAAAGCACAAACATACCTTCAAAAACGTAGCTTTGTGTTCTCCTTCCTATATGTTGTCACCGTAAGAGGCTTCTTCCGGTTTGGTTAAATTTTGTTCTTGATGCTTTTGAACAAAGATGACGTTACTACCTAGGGTTTTAAGTATTTGAAATTGCATCTGGGTACTTTCTATAGATAAATGTTTGATGTTAGTCCCTCGAATGGGTGGAAATTGCAAATTGACTGGTTCTTTCTATTCTTTTTAACCTTTTCCATCCGAAACACACCTCATTTGCGTGCGTATGTATATATAACATTTTTCAAAATTATGAATCCTCTGATTTTTATTTTTTTGGCGTCTTTCCGTTTTAGCTGTAACTAGTTAGTTGCTTGCGTTAGGTTACAGGCCTGATTTAACAAAATCATTTTAAAATTTTATAATTATAATTTATATTTAATTAATTTTTTTAATTTCTTTTATAAATTTTTTACTTACATTCTAAATAATTCTTCGTTATGGATTGATTTTAACTAAAATATTAATCAAGAATTAAAAAACTTTAAAAATATATTTTTCATAATATTATATTAAAAAATAAAGTTATAATTAATAAATGGACTTTTATAAAAACTAACAAATTGAAAAAAAAATTCTTATTTAATGTTAATAAGAAGATTAATTTTTGAAATTATCCATGTAATGCAACGAGTAGGTAGAACAAAATTGTTTTAAAATTTTAAAATTTTTTATTTAATTATTACTATTTTTCATATAATTTATGCTTAAAAAAAGATTTATTTTTCTTTATTTAGGGATTCCTAAATAAAAAATTGTAATATTTAATTTAAACCTAAAATATTAATTAAGAATTTAAAAATAAATACTTTAAAAATATATTATTTTATAAGAATATATCCAAAAAATAAAGTTACAATTAATGTATAAACTTGCATAAAAATTAACCGATAAAAAAATAACAATTTATTCTTATATAATGTTGATGAGAAGATTATTTTTTTAAAGTACATATATTTTATCTATACATATTATATAATCGTCGGTTTGTGTGGAAAAAAAGTAACGATTGATTTTTAAAAATTTTAACACCCAATTAAATAAAAAAAACATAAATTGAAGAATCGAAAAAAAAACCAAAGAAAAAAAAACATGTAGTGCATCAGCTAGAGAATAAATTTTTTATTTTAAATTTTCAAGGATCAAAATGAAATAATTTAAAAATTACAAAAAAAAAAACTAAGAAAAAAGAAAAAAATTAAGAGTGAAAATTAAAAAAAGAAAAAGAAAAAGCCTAAGAGTGAATAGTACATTGTGAGGGTAAAAGGAGTGAATAGTACATTGTGAAAGGGAAAACAGTATTGCCATAAAAACAAAAACTTTTAAAATATATTGTTTTATAAGAATATATTGAAAAAAATCAAGTTATAATCAATGTATAGACTTGTATAAAAATTAACCGAGTGAAAAAATAAAATTTTATTCTTATTTAGTGTTGATGAGAAGATTTTTTTTAAAAATAATATACATATGATATATATATATATATATATATATATATATAATCGTCAATTTATGTGAAAAAATCAACAATTGATTTTAAAAAAACTAACATCCTATTAAATAAAAAAAAGATAAATTGATAGAAAAAAATAAGTAAAGAAAAGGCATGCAAGTGCATCAAATAAGGATTAAAATTTTAACACTCAATTAAAATTAAAAAAAAGGAACATAAATTGATGGAAAAAGCCAAAAAAAAAAAAAAACCAAAGAGAAAAAGAAAAGACATATAGTGCATCAGTCAGGAATTAAAATTTAGGAATCCATATGAAATAATTTGAAAATTAAAAAAAAAAACCTAAGGGAAAAAACTAAGAGTGAAATTTTTTTTTAAAAAAAAAAGAAAAAAAAAACCTAATATTGAATAGTAAAGTGTGAGGGTTAAAACAAAAAATCACAAACAAACAAACTAACACTGTTTAAATAAACAGTACAATAGTGTGAGTTCACTGTTCATTCATTGTTTATTTAAATAGTGAACTCCTCGCATATTTTAGTTATATATTAAAGATAAAAATAAATAAATTTGTTTTCACAATATCACCTAGAGTTTGAATTTAATGAAAGAGTGTGAAAAAAAAAATGGTTACAACATGTGAAAAGTAGAGTTAAAATATATCAAGAGTAAAGTGAAAACAATAGAAAAATTCTTTTCTTTCTATGGTGAACAAAAGTTTAGAAAGGGCAAATGCATTAAGTAATTAAACAAAATCAAACTCTCTTTTTAAAAACATAAGTCCTAGTACAGATTAGTTCATCCAGATTTTGAGTATTCACAAATTTTGTTGCTCCTTTTCTTTCATTTCCTTTACAGGGCCTGTTGTGGTTAGGGATGGTTTTGCCCCATAATAATTATTATATATGAAGACTATTTTCCATTTTGAACTTAGGCCATGTTTTTTTTTTTTTGATAAACCGAGAACTTTCCCAAATTAATGCTTAACTCGTGAAATGTTTGTTTGAATTTTTCTCTCTTTTTTTTAGGATATTTAATTTTTACCACAATAGAATTTAGGATTGTCAATTCAAAAATATCAAATTTAAATAGACGGTGTTATTTCAACTCCATGATTTGTTATTTCTATTCCATCATTTAAATTTAAAAATAATTTATTTTCATGTAAAAAGAAAAAAAACACTAAAAAAAACACATGGAGACAAAAAAAAATCTATATTTCAAGCATTTCATTTTGTGTTTAATTAGTTCAAATTTTATACTTTACAAAATATATTTTTTAAAATAATATATTTTGACGGATCCAATTTGGCAGATAAGATTTGCTATTTATCGCTGTCATACCTTTTATATTAGCTAAGTCATTACATAATAAAACTTTTTTTTTTTTACCATGGATCATAAAATAATACTAAAATATTATTAATGGTTGTATCTATAATTGGCATCTAAAAAGTTTAGTAATATGATTGATTTATTTATAAAATGCACTATCTACTAACTCAATTTTAAGCTGGTAAGAAAAAATATATTTTAAACGATCTGTATTTTTGAAAAATAAAGTCATGAATATTTAGGTATAATCCACTATTTTTCTTGTATATATTTTTTTAAATATAATAAAAGCTCATTTTAAAATTTTGTAACTTTAAAGATTTTAATTGAATACAAAAAAACATATTAGATATAATTATTTTAGTTTCAAAAATAAACAGTAGAGTGAGAATTACACCATCTAATTTAATTCTTGCTATACACAAAAATCTATCTATTTATCTAAACAAATCTTTTAATTTGGATAGAATGCAATGTAAATCGGTGACTATAGAATATATTCAATTAATAAATTCGGCTATTCATTTATTTCAATATGCCAATATTACGTTCTCTTAAAATCATTTTATATAAATTATAGCTGTCATTAACTGTGTATTTATTATTTTAGGTATTATTCTCAAACAAATTTTTTTTATATAATTATTAACATATTTTCTCTCTTTAATATATATATATATATATATATAAAACAAAAGCTTCATTAGAAAATGTCTCTTGTCCTCGGGAGGTTTCAACTTTGAGCATGGCTCTTTCCTGAAAGAGATTGAGGGATAAAATGGTCGTTTTCTATTACGTCCGGAAAAAATCGGTGTGGAGATAACAATTTCTAGTTTGCTAATATCATTTCCCATATACATAACAGAGAAGCAAGGAACGCACCTCAGACCTCACTCTCCCCTGTAAAACTTGCACGACTTCTCTGTGTCACCTCCTCTCTCCCTTCCTCTTATCTATTTCTTCGTCGTTAATAGCAGAAAACAGAAGAACAGAATCCTCTATTGTTTTAAACTATTAATCCTGTTTTCTGTTATTAAATCCGTTATAGATTTCTAAAATGATGCAGCAGATAGGAGATGGCCTCACCGATCTGGCGCAACTACAGTCCACCATGCAAGCCATTGAGCTCGCTTGTTCTTCTATTCAGGTTATCTTTTTCCTTCTAATTTTCTGTTTGGTTACTGAGAAACAGCAAGAAAATAACACAAAGTAAAAAGTAAAAAGAAGAGAATTCGGTTGAGCCGTATCAGAAGATTCGATAATAAACGTAATAACCATAATAAAAATTTAGAACTTCCGGAGCTCATTCTCAAACAAAGTCCCACATTCGTCCATCGCACTAGGATAGCTTGTATCTATTAGTAATAAGCAATTTTTTTTAAATAAAAGAAATAGGTTTAGTCAGGTTTTCATTTAATATTTGATGATTTCTAGTGTTATTAATTTGGAGAATACATCTAGTAGTGATTGAATGCCGTCATTTTTAGTAATCTATCTCGACAACTTAATCGGTAATCAACGCTATTTGTTTTGTTTTTTTTTTTTTTTGTGTTAATTAGTGATTATAATCAGTGATTTTGATCTAACAGTAACGATTCTTTTAGCCAAATGCGGTTATCCTTGTGATTTATTTGTTTGGCATTTGCAATCGTGAATTGTGTGGGTCCACGTCCACGTCGGTGTTTGTTAACTGTTTACCTTCTACGGCAGATGCATGTAAATCCAGCGGCAGCAGAGGCAACCATTTTGTCGCTAAATCAGTCGCCACAGCCATACAAGGCATGTCAATTTATTCTTGGTATGTGAGTTAATGCAATCATGAGTGCTAAGTGTGTAGTGGTTAATGTTTATCTTGTTGATAGTTTTGGAAGGTATATGAATTATCAATGTTATTAGAGTTTTGATGCGAAAATGTGATGTCAATGGTTTTAACTTATATATGCATCAGAGAATTCTCAAATGGGAATGGCAAAGTTTCAAGCGGCTGCTGCGATTCGAGATGCATCTATTAGGGAATGGAGTCTCCTTACAAGTGAGGACAAGAGAAGCTTGATAAGGTAATTCCGCAATACTGAAAAGTTAATGTGGCATCAGTTGTATTGTTTCAGAGGTATTAGTGCTATATTAGTTTAGTTGTTAAGTCTGTGGATGCATGTATTAATATGTGATCATATTTTTTCAGGTGCGCTTTGCACTTGTTACATGGAAATTTTGTTATATTCTTGCTTGATTATGTGTGTGTTTTACCCTTTGGTCATCGATCACAGTTTAAATTAATGCTTCTGCTTGCAGTTTTTGTTTGTGCTATGTTATGCAACATGCTGGTTTGCCTGAGGGCTATGTCCAAGCAAAGGTTTCTTCTGTGGCTGCTCAATTGATGAAAAGGGGTGGTAAAGTTGCACATATTTTTTCACCTTTAAATGCTGAATAGAAATATGCAACGCATGCAGATGGAGACTTAAGTGACTACGACTGTATTTTACTTGTGATATTGATGCTTTGTGTTGCATAATCATAGACCATGAGACTTGTCCTGGAAAGTACATGTGATAGGGAATGCCATGCATGGTGCTTTGTGCCTTAGTTCTATGATTTATAGTGCCAGCAGCTCTATCTTGCCTGTGATATTGCTGCCTCTCATTTGATGGACATAGGCAATAACCTGGACAAATATGGAAAGATGGCATGGCACACATGAGAATGATGGGGTACATTGAATATAAACAATGATTTTTGAAAAGTTGATGCCAACCAGCCTTCATAACATGGTGGAGCAATATAAAATAATCTATGATTGTCTTGAATGAACGTAGACCCAATCAATGCAACTGTATAATTAGCCTTTGGCAGAGTAATGGCACATGCATCCATTTGCCAATTACTTAATTGAAAAATAAAACCAAAGGGGGTGGAGGACTCCACCCTCTGGGAGGACTATTTGGTTTTGGAGAATGGTGAAGCTGCATCCATCATCTAATGAGACGGGTGGTGTGATGGATGTGGCATCAGCAATGATGGTTAAGCTGATAGTGAAAGTAATGTTGTTAATTTGTACTTACTGGAGAAGGATGGAAGCAATGTCGAAGCAGAATGCAAATTTTGCTTATATGAAGAGTGGGATGCCTGGATATGTTTGTGAAGATACTGAAAATTTGAGGCTGTGCAGTGTTGAAAAGTTGGCATCTGTTAGTCCTATACTACTCATTTCTAGGAGAACTTTTGTGATCAATCATTGTAGAATGGTGTTGGTAGCTGTCACTTCTAGTTTGCTGAAATTTTAGGATCTTCTAATTTATTTTCACTTTTAGTGTTGTACTTTAGTGATGTTGTGATTTATAAATGAATTACGTTACAAGTTTTGATGGATTAGTATTATCAATCATGATGACCCATAGAAATTTCAGCCCTAAAAAGAAATTCCTCACTAGTTTGGAAGTGAAGCATAGTTGTGTTGAGTGGTCATCAACTATTTTTCACATTTAATCGAATACATGGTAGACTGATGGAATTTCATTTGCCATGCGTGTTCCGATATCATTTGTGCAACTTATTGCAAGCTTTTACTTGTAAATATTGTCAATAGATTTTGGTGTTAACTAGTTTCAATCTTTTAAATACATTTTGTACTGGGTCGCACTCTTGTAAATATTCTTTTCCTTGAGTGCTTGGTGCTAGTTTGACGTGGATCTGAAGAAAATTTTGTCAAGGGGATAGATGATGGTCTAAGAGGTCCCTATTATAGTGAAGAAAATGTCAAGAATTTTGCCAATCTATGTTGTGAGAAATTGATAGCCTTTATTATTTATTAATTCATCATCATTTTTTTTTCCTCTGCGGCAAGTTAATATCTGGGTTGTATATTGGAAAATAATAGGATCGATTTTACGGCTGCTGAGAAGGAGACCTTTTTTTATCAGGTATCACGGCTCTTTCATATTCTTCATTCCTTCAAAACTTGTTTAGTAGCACATACTTCACCGGGGGCCTTGCCTGATATTTTTTTGCATGTTGATTTGTGGAAATACTATTGTTGCTTTGCTCCTTGTCTCTCCTTGTGCCAACAAAATTTTCCTTTTTCACAGAAATAACCTGCTTTCATTTTGAAGATCATCTTCAAATGCTAGGTGCATTCCTGCAGATGAGAAGTCCTATTTTCTGAAGGCATCTAATTTTTCTTATTTGTTACTGCACTATACCAGTACTAAAAATCTGTCTCCTGCAGTGTAAAATTATACTAGACTATTCTGTATTTAATTAACAATTAGATAAGTAAGGGCTGTATCTCTTCTTTGGTACCGGCTTAAGAAAATGAAGAGTTCCCATAGGTGACTGTCAAATGTGCAATAGGTTTGATTAATTAGCAACTGCACTCAAAGATGATTCCACAGAAGAGGAGAAAGCATGCCCATGGACATATTAAATCTGTTATTCTCAACATATTAAAATTAGAGGAGGATACCTTTTGTGACTATTTCTATGGTCCATGTACCAGCGTAAAAGATATTCATTGAGTCATCTTAGATATTAGCAAAATCAACGAGGTTTTGTTCCCTTTTGTTGATATCCTTCGTGCTTTATCACTGTTGAACTGTGAACAGAATTGGTTTCTGTGATGTTTTAATTTTCTTTTATGGCATACCAGCTGTTGCAAAAGCATAACCACTTCAGTATGCATATACACATTATACATGTAATGTAAATTGAAAACATGCTCATGCATATTGTCCTTGCTTGTCTAACAATTGCTCCTGCAGATAAACCAGGCTGTTCTTGGAATTCATGGTGTGGATGTGCAGTTCTCTGGAGTCAATTTCCTAGAATCTTTGGTACTCATAATTTTCTCAAGTTATTTCTTTTCATGAGCATGTTGTTTCTGACCGGACTCTGCTTTATTTTCTTAACATGTTTCCAAAATCTGGGACTAAGAATTTCTTCATTGCAGGTATCAGAGTTCTCACCTTCTACTTCAAGTGCCATGAGCCTTCCTAGGGAATTTCACGAGCAATGCCGAATGTCGTTAGAGAAAGACTATCTGAAGGTTTTTCCTATACTGCTTAATTCTGTGATATGCTTCTATTTGTTAACTGTGGAGTTTTCTCGATAATGATGATGTTTGTGCATTGGCTTCCTTCTACTTATTGCTTTCTTGTTCAGACCTTTTCTTATTGTTGTTTTGCTATCTTTTGCATTATAGACATTCTATTGTTGGGCACAAGATGCTGCTATAAGTGTCACAAAGGGAATAGCTGTCTCCAACACTGAAATACCCGAGGTTAAGGTTTGCGCTGCTGCACTGCGTCTCATGTTTCAAATCCTGAACTGGGATTTCCGGTACAACACAGCTGGCACAAAAGCTGGCAGAGATGCTTTTTCACGTGGAGTCAGAGCTTACAGTTCACCTAAGAAGTCTGACTGCACCATAGTGCAGGTAACAAATTTATATCTTAAACTTTCCATGGTTACCAATGTTTTGTTTTGTTCATGTTTATACTATAGAACAAAACATGGGTGCAAGGCGCACATTTTGAGGCTACCATTATGTTCATATCTATTTATATCATCCTGGAAAGAGCTCAAGGAGAAATGACAAAGTTGTTGCTTTACTTTCTGCTTGTTTTCTCATCCTTATAGATATTCTAAAAACAGCACATGACCAAGAACAAGTCAATTAACCAAAGACGTTCCTGCGCTGCTGCTGGAAGCAATAGATCGGCACAATTTGTGTTTTGACCTCTGCATACTTAATTGATTCATTGACTGTCAATCTATACTTCTTGTAGCCAGGTTCTGCATGGCGTGATGTTCTGATTTCAAGTGGCCATGTTGGGTGGCTCCTGGGCTTCTACGCATCTCTAAGAGAGAAGTTTCCTGGTGGAGGCTACTGGCTTGATTGTCCTCTTGCAGTCTCTGCTCGGAAGCTTATCGTACAGTTCTGCTCCTTAACAGGAACTATATTTCTTTCTGGTTAGTATGTTGTCTCTTACCTTTACCTTTTTTTGTCATGTATTAATTCTCTGATGCTAATAATCTTGATGTTTGCTAAAAATGATAAGAAAATGCTAATTGTTGAGCTGTTTCTTGATTACTGTTCTTATCAATGAACTTGAAGAACTTGTTAACAAGTGGTCTAAGAAGGAAATTTTAGATGCATGTTTTTTCCTCTCACTCCAAATAAAGCTAATCCCTCTAATTTGGCCAGATAACTACCTCTATCCAACATTCACCATATTTCTTGAGCTAATGAATAAGGCCAAAGTCTAAGTTTTAAAGTAGCTCCTGCCTCATAAGCTACCTGGATCCCAAAACTGCACTATCCTGAACTTTAAAAATGTTTTCCCTCTTTGTTGATACAGAATGGATTGCCATGCCCAAATCTGCTCTAACATTGCATGTAAATCCAGAGTGTCAATGGATTTCTAAAACTTTTAGATGGTCAACTAGTTTGGCCTTTAGTTTCGAAAATACAACAATAGAGTGGGGATTGTGATGATTGTTTCTATAGTTGGATTATTTCAACAATGAAGGTTATTGTTAGTTGGAAAAGTTTTTCAATGATGGTAAATGGGATTTGTGATTGCAAAATTATTTAGATTAGATTGAGAAAAAAATGGAGTTTATTCATGAGATTAGATGGAGTAAAAGGTGCTCTAAGGTTTTCACAGTTGCATATGTCTGCAATACCAGCACTGACTACTGGACTGTTAGAACAAATAAAATTGCTCGCTCATTCAAATCATCTAGTTTGCAACTCCTCAAATTAATAGACATGCTAAGTATCCTGTTCAATAGTGCAGATGATGGACAGATGCAAGAGCATCATTTGCTACAACTACTTTCTGGGATAATTCAGTGGATTGATCCTCCTCATGCTGTTTCACAAGCAATTGAAAATGGGAGAAGTGAAAGGTCATATTCCTACATATTATCTGTTTTCTATTGGAGTGCTTTGCTTGCTGCAAAGTGTCACATTTTTCGAGTTGTTTCAGTGAGATGCTTGATGGATGCCGGGCACTGTTATCTATTGCAACTGTTACAAGCTCCATTGTATTTGACAATCTGCTAAAATCCATAAGGTATGTGGCAGAATTATATCCTGTTTTGGCACTTCCATTTTTTAGGTCTCTTTTGAACTGGAGAAAAATTATGGTTGCATTGGGTTTTTGTATATCTGGCAAGTATTGCATTGTGTCATGTAGTCTTCTAATATTCTTTGCCTCAATGTTCAGGCCCTTTGGCACTCTTGCCTTTTTATCCACCTTGATGTGTCAAGTTGTCAAAGTCCTTTTGACTAAAAACATCGATGACGGGACATGGAGCTGGGAGGCACGTGACATCTTATTAGATACCTGGACCACCCTACTCATGGTATATACTTGTTAGATTGTTCTTATGACATTGTGTGTGTGATGAAGAACCACTTTTGTCATCCATTAATTCGTTTGTCTTATCTTTCTTGAGAATTGCATGTTCAGATTTATGCTATTTTTGTCATGGTTCCAAATTTTACTTAAAGTTTGTGTTTCCTCACTGTGGTTATGTTTATTGTCAGGATAAGAGGTATTTTATCTTTGTAAAATTGTTTATACTGGCCATCAGATTTAGCATTATTCTTGTTATTCTTCTTAGGATAGTACTGGGGGGACTGAGCTGCTTCCACCTGAAGGAATCAATGCGGCAGCCAACCTTTTTTCCATGATTGTAGAGTCTGAGCTAAGAGGTAAGGGTGGTGCTTTTTAATGATTGCCTTACTGATTTGTCATCTTTTTGTTTATCTATCATTTTTAGAAATGGTTAAAATAACTCTTTTGCCTTTATAGTGGCTTCTGCATCAGCGATGGGCGATGATGATGACGACCCATACTACCTTCAAGCTTCTATTTCTGGTACGGGGAAAAGTTTCTACATTTTACATGTCTGCCTTCACTTTAAATTATCTATTATTTTGGTTACTGTTGAATTGCTTGTTCATATTTCTCAGTTTTGTCTTTGATTGATGTCCCTCTGTCTTTGTTACATGCCATGCAGCCATGGATGAGAGGTTAAGTTCTTATGCATTCATTGCAAGAGCAGCAATTGAGGTCACCATTCCTTTACTCACAAGGCTGTTTTCTGAGCGCTTTTCCACACTTCATCAGGTGCTCTTGTTTGTTGTCTTTGAAGAATATTTTTGCTGGAACCTTTTTTTTTTTTTTTTTGGTGCTTGATTGTAAGGACTGAGGAGTTTGTTTTGAAGTTGTAAGATATCATTTTACATTAGCCATCACTTATTTGCATTGCACTCAACTGGTCCACTTATGGATTAAATTTTCTGATAGATCATCAGGAATTGGACTCGTAAAACGTTGGAATCTTTAAACCAGGCTTATATTGTCTGACTTTTTTTTTTTGGTCAATATACTGTTTTTCTTCATCGAGTTATAGTTGGCTGATTATTTTGATTTGAGATTTAGATGATGAAGGATTGAAACTTTTTCAGTATGTGGTACAGAAAAATATTTCCAGAGGCAGAACATTCAGAAAAAAACGAGTAATAATTTCTTCTTTAGTTATTAATGATGCGTTTTTACTTATATCTCATGTTCTTTACTTTTTAGGGAAGAGGTATTGTTGATCCAACTTCAACTTTGGAGGAACTTTATTCATTGTTGTTAATAACTGGCCATGTACTTGCAGATGAAGGAGAGGGAGAAACACCCCTGGTACTTGGTTACTTCTTGAGCTTAGTTTTAAGCTTTGTTTTGCAAATATGTGCAATATGATGCTTTCCATGGCAATTTTTTCTCCTCAAGTACTCTGAAGTTTACAGAGAGGTGCTTGCATGCCCAATATGGATGTCATTTTGCATTATCTTCTTATTTCTCTGTATTCATTGCTTATTTTAAAAGATGAGATATTGCTATACTGTGTCTACTCCAAGTAATTGTCTTCTTTGAAAAAATAAACTTTTGATGTTAAATATTTACATCAATTAACATAATAATCTAGTATGAATTTGCCAATATGAGCTTCAGTATTCTGAAGCTAAGATATAGGATGAGGCACTTTGATTTGAATCAAAGGATATTAAATAGGGTGAGTGGGCCTTTATGGTTGCTCCCCCTTTCCCTGAACTTTTTTTTTTTTTTTTGCTTTGATAAAGAAAGATATTATGTTTGTGCCTAATTGTAATTCATTAGGTTAGCATTTGTTGGAAGATATGATAAATTCTGATGCACATTCTGAAGTGTACAACCACTATGGGATGGACAATAATTAAAATAGGATTGGAATGAGATTTATTTTGCATCTTTATCATCACTATTCACCACTCATTTGATATATGCTCCAGTATAATCCTTTGGTCTTCCAGTGCATGGGTGGCATGCTTGTGGATGATCTCTGACTAAGCTGTGGTGATAAACTGTTGCGCCACAGTCAGCCTTCCATTTTTTTTAAAAAAATTTCATTGCTTATTATTCATGCTTAGTTTTTGTTTCCAAGTTCTGACTTCCATTACCAAATGCCTTTTGGAATTTCACACGTTGAACTAGTGCTGACTTGTTTAAGAGAGAAGTTCCATTGGATATCTCTTCGCTTATTGTCTTTATTTTTTAAGGATATTTGTGTTAGTATCACCAGTTTTTCAGTCAAAATAGTTTCCAGGCCACTTTTGAAATATTAGCTCAGTGTTTTTCTGTTCAAAAAGAGTGATGTTAGTTTGTATACTCGACTTGTTAAGATGCTTGTATTGCTAACAACCACTCTTCTAGTCTTGTGAGTTAACTCTCTAATTATGGGGCATATTTTTCTGTGTTAATTAGGTCCCTAACACAATAAAAACCCATTTTGTGGACACTGTGGAAGCAGATAAGCATCCCGCTGTGATGCTCTCCGTGTAAGTTTCTTACTTTCCGTTCATGAAATAAGTAGTGGACGTGTCAAGTCTAAGTAGAATACAAATTCAAAACCGTTCTTCAAAAAACTTTTGCAACTTTAGTGCAAGAAGAGAGAGAAGGGAAGAAGAAACTGCTGCTGAATGCCTGGCCTCTAGCTTATTTTACAAATTGCTTACTAAATTTTTTCATCTCTGCTATTGAACACCATGTCACTTTTTCACTTAGTGCAGTTCAATCATAAAGTTTGCTGAGCAGAGTTTAGATCCAGAAATGAGAGCCTCAGTTTTCAGTCCCCGGCTCATGGAGGTAGTACAGTTCATTTTGCCCCAAGTTACTTTCAGCTTTCTTTTTTTTTTTTTTCACTTTACTTTTTTTTTTTTATGCATTATTGTTATAGTTATGGATACAATATGCTGCTTTTTGAATGCGATCTGTCTGTGATGCTGATATGTTTTTTTTTAAAAAAATCTTAATGTTAAGGTCAAGATGCATCTATTCCTTAAGAGTTTTGTTTTTGGTCAATTATGTCGAGTTCTAGCTTTGCCAAGTTGGCATGGTCCTAGTGTCTAAATAACATACATTTGTTACCATAGGCATTCAGTTGGCCTATGCCCTATGTGCCATTTTTTTTTTTATAACAGAGATCAGATTGCTATGCTTCACTAATTTGATATTCTGGTTTCCTTATTATCCTATTATGTTTTCTGATTGTGCATCACATAAGTAGTAGGAGATGTGAGTGAGCTTTTACTTTTTCTGTTTGTCCCCCCATCATGATATATGCTTCAACTATTTAGCTGATATTTTGCATAGGCTGTTATATGGTTTCTTGCAAGATGGTCTCGTACATATCTATTGACAGAAGAAATTCAAGACAGCACCCTGAGTTTGGGGCATGTTCATGAGTATCAGCACCAGCAACAGAACTCCAGAAAAGCTTTGCTAAGCTTTTTGGAGAAAATTATCAGGGAAAATTTGTGCTGGATATTATTGTTCGTATCTCAGTGACAACCCTCTTGTCTTATCCTGGGGAGAAGGATTTGCAGGTACAAGTTATAGGAGTTTTTTTGGTTTGACATTTATCTGGTTTCACATTTATGCTTGTTCTACACTCCAAGGTCTTAACTCACGGTTTTTTTTTTTCCTCAATGCGATGAGCTAATAGGTAGACAATTTTTCATTCTCCTACACTTGATTAGTTGCCAAGTCAAACTTTTCCTTTTGATATTTGTGTCCAAGTTATTAATTATTCTGTTGTTTATTTGGTATTTTTCGTTACTAGACATGTGATTTTGTATCCAAATCATAAATTGAACTTCATATATTTGGTGATTGTTATTGAATTTGTGTTCTGTGACATGAAGACATTGTTGATTTTTCCTCCATGGACTTGCCTGCCAAACTAATCCATATATGGCTTTTGATTATGCTAACAAACTACATCCATAAATTAGGGCATCATATGCACTCAGATTCTTGTATATTGTTATATTTTGTCTAATTGTGCTGAAAATAATAATTCTTATAATGATTGTATAATTTTTCTTAGTTGATTTCTGGTGAAAGTTTTTGATTTTTTTGTATTTTTTTAATAACGAAATAGCTATTATTTCTCATAATCTTTCTAGACTAAAATTGACAATAGCAGTAATGGTTTTGATTTCTTGATGAACTCGTCCTAGCTAATTTCAACTTATTTGGTAGAATTACACAGTTTCATTTCCATCACTGTTGGTTACGTGAAGAATCACATTTGACATATTAATAGCATTAAGAAGCTCCTCCCAGTTAATTTAGCCCTTTGATAATCCATGGGCCATACTAGTTGTGCTCTTCCTGAATAATGCTCTTCGTTCACACGTGACAGGAGTTAACTTGCTCCCAACTACTTCATGCTCTTGTTCGGCAAAAAAATATATGTGTTCAACTTGTTCAACTGGTAAGTGACATACATTTAAAATATTTTGAATAGCTTCAGGATCAAAACTGATCATAGTGGTCTCTTTCAATGATAGTCAGGCTTACAATTATGGACTGGCTACCTTCTTACGTTTCTCTGGCTGCATTTTGTCTTTATTAGTACTGTATGTATGAATCAAGATAAACTATCATAAAGTTACTATTTTCGTTAATATGACATTCTTTTGAAAGTCTTGAAGTAAATTTCTGAATAACCTATAGTTAGAATAGGATGTAATGTATAGGAGTCTGATTCTTTTATTTTTAGCAGCATCTAAATGACCATTCTTTGAGCCATTTCATTTCAAAACAAATTTACAGGACTCATGGCGTGAGCTAGCAAATGCATTTGCAAATGAACAAACCTTTTTCATGTTAAATTCTTCTAATCAGGTGAGAGTTTCAAATGTTGTGATCTACTATGCTATTCTTGCTGTCCGCAGTTTTAACTATACGTTATTATTCTTTTTTAGCGGTCACTGGCTCAAACACTGGTTCTGTCTGCTTCTGGAATGGGTAATTCAGGGGCTTCAAATCAGTGAGTCTTCTGCATGCTTCTTTATCATTATTATTCTTATTTTATTTTATTTCTATTTTTGTGATAACTGCCTGATGTCTGCTCATCCTTTTCTTAAAGATATGTAAGGAACCTCATGGGTCATATGACAAAGTATCTGGTGCAACTATCTAACAAGCGAGACCTTAGAAATGTTGCTCAACAACCAGATGTCATCCTACCAGTAAGGACTTTGAGTTTTTACGTTCACTGTTCAGTGTAATTGTTTTGCCTAGAAGAATAATCATTGTCTAATAACATTAGGTGAATTGCTTGTTGGAGCGACTACGTGGAGCTGCCAGTGCCTCAGAGCCTCGAACACAGCGAGCTCTTTATGAGATGGGATTCTCTGTGATGAACCCTATTTTGGTTTTTCTCGAAGTTTACAAACATGAGGTACTATAACATATCAATCCAATGACTGCATATTCTCTTTCACAAGATCAAGTTGAAAACATGTTTTTGTATCTCCCAATATCCAATTTCTAGTTTCACCTCCTTAACTGCTACCTTAAACTTTATTTTCTTGAAGTAAACAATTCTTAGGTAAGATGTTGTTCACACTGATTGATTGACTGCTCTGTGCATCCTATCTACAATTTGTCAAAAACTTTGTTTGATGGATATAGCACAACGAGTTTTTTTTGGTTACTTTTGAAGAATGTTGTTGCTCACTCCTTTTTGGTTTCTTGCATGATGTTCACTGTTTTCTGTTGTGATTTCTCAGCACTAATCTTGGATTATTTTTTAGTCTGCAGTTGTTTATCTGCTACTTAAATTTGTTGTTGATTGGGTGGATGGCCAAATTGCCTACCTAGAGTCTGGAGAAACTGCTTCTGTTGTTGATTTCTGCATGCGTTTGCTTCAGCTTTACTCATCTCACAATATTGGCAAGGTACTTTTCATGACTTCGCAGTGTCTGATTAAGGTCACTCATGCTAATCTAGAAAAAATAATGGTGAAAGAATCTCTGCCCCTTCCACCTTCATACAAATGATTGTTTCCTCATAAAATTGCTATCAACTGGACTTTGCATGTCCCAAGGCTGCTGTAGGATATTATTTTTTCTAGCATGTTTTTGATCGGATACTTGTATGATAGATGTTCCCTGTCTTGGGCTGAAAGCTTCAGACCATGTTGATAAAGATGAAACAAATGGACAACAATTGATTCTCTCGTGCTCCTTTTTTTTTTTTTTTCCTTTTTGGATGGGTTTTTTTCTGGCTTGGGCTTAGTCTTAGTGTTGTGCTCATAAATACTTAATATGCGAGCTTTGTAAATCAAAGTTGAAAGCTGATTTAAGCCATCCCTAACTCAGACAAATTTGCCATTTGGGCTGGGGCTTTGGATCCACTCCAAGTCCAACAATACTGGTGTTTGTGCTTAGGTAGCAATTTGCCCACTCCAGAACAGGGAAAGCGGTATAAATTTATTCAATGAAGGTATTAGTACTGTGCCTATTTAATGATATTGTTGAAAATCTGCAATTTAGAGTAAGAGGTGCACCATAATGACAAAATTGTTCTTGATATTGCAACTGCAATTTAAACCGCGGAATAGATTTGCTCAATGGATTTGATTCTTGGTAACAAAACTGAATTGCCATCAAAGTCGCAAAAAGCGCCAGTGTGCTTGTAACTTAATTGGCACCTTGTCCAACTCCCCCAAGTGGTCTCAGGTTCCAGCCTCTCCTTTGTAACCAAAAAAAACAAAAAGTCAGGACAAGAATTTTGCTAGTGAACGCAAAAAACTGGATTTCTTTCTTAAGCTTCTTTAGTTTGTACATTTTGTTTTATTGCTCACATAAGAGTGAGGCTGAAGCTTAGACTGTGTGCACATCATGTCTTGTAAAAAAATTCTTGTATCTGAGGTCTCCTCTTTTCAAATTTAAAGTAGTAAACTGTCTAGAGATACTTAACTGTGTTTTATGCGGGTTTTGAATTCTCTGCTCTACTGATATAATTTGTTCTGAATTCTTTACCCATCCATCAGTATATCATTTTGCCATGTGTTTCTTTTCTTTTTTACTATAACACTTAGGTTCTTAATTGATATTTGTACTGATGCTTTTTTCCTCTCAATCAACACCCCTCTTCATTGTTTTGCAGATATCAGTAAGTCTTTCAAGTAGCTTGCTCAGTGAGGCAAAAACTGAGCAGTATAAAGATTTACATGCACTCCTTCAGCTTCTCTCAAATCTTTGTTCAAAAGATCTGGTACCTTTCCTTTTTCATTTTTGGGATTGGGATGTAATATTTGACCATTTCATAGCTTATTAAGGATTCATAAATATTGCAGGTCGACTTTTCATCAGATTCAGTTGAGACACAGGGGACAAATATATCTGAGGTAAGTTCGTCTGCAGGTTCAGTATAAATATCATGTACTCGGTTTCTCATGCATTGGTCTTGCAGGTAGTCTATTTCGGACTTCACATAGTTACCCCTCTGATCTCCTTGGAATTGCTGAAGTACCCTAAGCTTTGCCATGATGTAAGAGTTTTTATAGGTCATGAGATATAAAGCTCTAATTTGATCATTGGGAACTTATAGATGGTCTGTGATTGTGCAGTACTTTTCGCTACTATCACATATGTTGGAGGTGTATCCTGAAACAGTTGCCCGATTGAACAATGAAGCTTTTGGCCACGTGCTTGGGACCCTTGATTTTGGCCTTCGGCATCAGGTAACTTAATAGAGTTCTTGATGTAGAACTAGAGTACGGAATTGAAAAGAGATAGAAAATATAGGACCCAGTAAGCTAAATACTTGAAATCCGCAAGGGATGCTGCTCGAAAATACAAGAAACTAAACTCTTGAATCCACAAGAACAACAGATTCTGAAACCCGACTTTTATTCATGAAAGCAACCATCAATTAGATAGAATATATGTGCTTACAGAGGCACACCAAGCCCTAAAATCACCTAATTAAAATTGGGAATAAAATACAAGTAAAACACAAATCCTCATAGGGAAATCATACTTGATTGGATATTACATTATAGATAGAAAGCTTCCTAAATAGAGACAACAATGCGTAACTAACTTGAAAAAAGAAATTCCTCTCATTTGGCACCAGTCCTTCATTTGGGATAACCAATGTTTGTGATGTATTGTGCCCAAATGTTGTCAACTCCTTTAAATAGTTTTGTGCATCTTGTTGGAATATGACACAAATTGGATTGACAGAGAACATGGATGTAGTATAGACTTTGTTACCTCTCTGTTCTGCTATATGATTTTGTGTTTGTATGAATTTGCACAACACAACTTGTATGCATAGCCAACCGGTTTCTTATTAACTGATTACAGGTATAGCCTTCACAGCCTCCACCCTTGACCCACCTACTTTCCGCGCCAGGAAATTATTCCTAAATCTTCTATGTTATGAACCATTATGTCTATGCCATTTCCAACTTATCCATTGATGGTACAGGACACAGAAGTGGTCAATATGTGTCTGAGCGCTCTGAAGGCTCTTGCTTCCTACCACTATAAGGAGACAGGTGCTGGCAAAACAGGCTTAGGCTCACATGCCTCCAGTGTGAAAGATTCTCATGGAAATATGCAGGAAGGCATTTTGAGTCGATTCCTTCAATTGTTAATGCAATTACTCCTTTTCGAGGATTACAGGTAATTGGCCTGCTTCATATATAATGTTAGAGTGAAGATTAAAGTTTTGTGTTGCATGTAATAAAAGAAATAGTTCAGAATTATCAATACTTGTAAAACATGTTTGATGATCTTTTTACTTCCCTTACGTTGCTTGATATCATACCTTGAAGTACTTCTATTTGTGTTTCCAGTCCAGATCTGGTCAGTCCTGCAGCAGATGCTCTCTTTCCATTGATTCTTTGTGAACAAGTTCTTTACCAGGTAATTTTCTCTAAGCTTGTGTATAATTTGGACAAGAAGTTGATGTTCCATTTTTATTGTGACAAAATGGTAACAGAACAATACAAACAAGTTTTGCATGGCACTTGCATGGGTGTGTTTGATGAATGAATTATGAGACGTTTTCGGTGCAGAAATTAGCCAATGAGCTTATAGAGAGGCAAACAAATCCAGCATTCCGATCAAGGATGGCAAGTGCATTACAGTCCCTCACAAGCGCTAATCAGCTTTCATCCACTCTAGATCGCATGAATTACCAAAGATTCAGGAAGAATGTGAACAATTTTTTGATTGAAGTTCGTGGATTCTTGCGGACAATGTGACGTGTTCTTCCTTTCTGTAATTGTAAGCAATGATATTGGTTATGTCATTCCTTGCATTGTTTTCACAGGAACAAGATTTTGCAATCAAAGGGAAAACCCAGTTTTAGTGAGCACATTATTGTCAGTTCTGGCTTGTTAGCAGAGAGTAATCTAGTAGAGCGAAGTTAAAGCTCTTTGTAAATGAATGAAATGAAGTAGAAACTTTGATACAAAGTTACAGAAGATCTCTTTCAATGCTTTTGGAGTAGCAAAGTTCTTTGGTCGCGATGCATCATCTCATTCAACATGATGGGTTCGGAGAAAAAGAGGGGATTGTATTTTGAGTTTTAGTTTTATGCTTTTCCCAATTCATCCACAAAGACGCTCATTTTATCCTTCATCATCCAGTCTAGCTGAATAAATCTTTGCGTGCTATCAATACAATCCCAAAAGGCGGCAGATAATAGGGCTTAACAGTGATGAAAACCCAGTCTCCAACAAGGATGTCATACTTCATTTATGCAATTCCAGTCTGAAAACAGTGAAGGTCTAGAAATTCCCACAACCTTACGAGCTGCGGGGCTAGAGTCCTGATACGTGTGTGCCGCCGTACACCTACCTAGGGCTAGGAGTGTTTGCCTTGCATATCGTAGTTGCATGGTGCATATGGCATGCATGATATGCACTGGCATGTTATTGAACATGCTTCTGAATGCGTTGACAATTATCCCATTATACAATGAAGGCTGAATTACATGAGAACCACTGAAATATTGGTTATCTATAACGTTAAAAAAGTTTAATTTGACTTTGTATTGTTTTTTAGTAAATAATAAGCATTTACGGTCAATATTTTGACATCGACCACAAGTGATCCTCTAAAAAGCTGACATGTGGCACCAACCCCCCATAGCTCTCATGGAAATCTAAATACAAATTTTAATCCTACTCTAACAGGACTTGTGTTTTTTCCCCTCTCTCTAACTACAAATTCCTTCTTGTCCTCTCTACCCTTCCACTCCATTTGATACAACACTAAGGCACGATGATAGACTACCAAACAAGGAATATGATGGCGCTCCAAATCAAGAAAGTGCTTCCCTTCCATTTGATATAGTATTAAGTTAGGATGATACACACCAAGCAAAGAATATGATAGAGCTCCAAATCAAGGGCAGTTGTATAAACTTTTCTTTATGTGTGTATCTTTTGTAATTTTTGTATTAATTAGTTAGATACTACTTCCCGTTATAGCTCATAAAACTTTGTATCTATATTGCCTAAACGAAAATCAAAATATAAATTTTTAATCCTACTCTCGTAATAATTGTGCTTTTATCTCTCTCTCTCTAACACAAAATTCCTTTTTGTTTTCTCCGCCTTTCTCTTCCCTCCGATAGAATACCAAGTTAGGATGATAGACCATCAAGTAAGGAATTTGATAATGCCCAAAATCAAAGAATTGCGGTTATACAAACTTTTCTTTATATGCATATCTTTTGTATCTTTGTATTAAATAATAAATACTACTTCTTGTTATAACTCATAGAACTCTATATTTATATTTTGCAAGTTCTCTCGTTAATAAAGCAATTCATATAAAAAAATATTTATGATGTTAGAGCCTTTTCTATTATAGACTAGAGAAATCCCTTTTCAAAATTCTTCCAATCAAGTCATCTTTCTATCTTCACTACCATAAATAATAGTTGATCCAACATCTCTTACACACTCAGTACGTGACCTTTGAAAACTCAACAACAACTTTTAATAATGCAAACTTGTTAACTCAAGGTAACATTGTTTCCTCTAATGAAAATCTAATTTCTCTTACTTGTCTCATCACGGATCCCACTTAAACTCTTAAAAGGTGGAGGAAATTTTGCATCATGGAAATCCCAAATGACCAATCTGTTATTTGGTTATGGCTTGTTTAGGTATGTTGATGGCACTCTACCTTGTCCACTCAACACCGATCCAACTCATTCCTTTTGGCTCTATCGGGACCATCTCATGCTCATGAGAATTCAAGCTATTGTCTATAGCACAATCGGTCGCAACATCAACAATTGCACCACCTCGGTAAAAGGATGGCACAAACTAAAAAATAGCTATGCATCTCGTTCTAATACTCGTATGTTATCTCTCATGTCTATTCTTATGTCTTACAAAAAAGATAGAAAATTAGTTACCATTTATACGAATAGGATTAAAAGTGTTATTGACGATTTTGCTCTTATTGGCCATTCTTTGAGTGATGTTGAAATCATTACTCATACCACTAAGAGGTCTTGGTGATGAGTATTTGTGTTTGCAATACATCTATCTCTTTTGAAGACCTCTACAAAAAACTTCTCTATGAAAAAATCATACAAAATAAGGGTGAATAAATGAAAGAGGATAACCACTTAGATTACCACTTAGCTTGCTCGGTGAAGAAACAACAATTACAATGGCCAAAATAATAAGAAAAATCGCTAGGAGCCTAAATTCTCAACCTATTCAAATGGAAACTCAAGCCAACCCATGATGCTTATTGAAATTCAAAGGCCAATCGAGTCCCTACCGGTCCCAACCAAGCAACCACGATAATTTCTCACGGGGGTATGGTTTCAATTCATCCTTTCAATCTTACTTGCGTACCATCTTGGAACTCGAACTTTAATTAGGGGTAACTCTAGATTGTTTGTCTCCTCTCAAGGCATATCTATTTCCCTACGTCGTCTTCTTTTCTTCTTCTCCTTCTCCATCTCTACATCAAAATAGTACTTCTCCTATTTTCCTTCCAATACGATCTTTCTCTCGCCCTCTCTAAAGCTACAATCCCCTCTTAGAATGGTTACTCATGTCTAAAATAACAATCATAAACCTAAATTTCCCTTTAATCTCCACACCACCACCTCCTCCAACAATTCCTCTTCTACAAATGAATCAAGTCCTTTTGTCCAAGAAAATGAACACTCTCATTAACGTCCCATCATGGAGGAAGAAATTTCATCCCTTAAACAAAATAACACTTAGACCTTAGCTCTTCATTCCCCAATCCAAAACATTATTGGTTGTAAATAGGTGTATCGCATCAAGAACGGTCCATTTGGTTTCATTGCTCGTTACAAGGCACTTTTTGTAGCTAAAAGATTTCACCAACGATCGAGTATTGACTTTCATGAAATGTTCGATCCCGTTGTTAAACACCGCCACCATCCGTTTTATTCTTAATTTAGTAGTGTCACATAGTTGGATTATAAATCGGTTGGATGCTAACAACGTATTCTTGCGGGGACATTTATCTAACATTATCTTTATACAGCAACCTCGAGGGTTTTCTAATCCTCAACACCTTTTTTTATGTTTACAAGCTATATAAGGCTTTATATGGTCTTCGTCAAGCCCCTCGGGCTTGGTATATAAAGATTCGCCTTTTTCTTCGGCCAAATATTTTATCAATTCTAAGAGTGATGCCTCTCTTTTCATTTATAGCACACCAAGTAGTATCATAGATCTTTTTATAAATGTCGATGATATTGCTCTTACTAGTAGCAATCCTTCATCTATTCGGTATTTCACCACCGTCTAGTTTTTTTATTCTCCTTGAAAAAGCTTGGCACTCTCGATTAATTTTTAAGAATTAAAGCACACAAAAATCCTAAGGGTTAGTTTCTAACTCAATAAAAATACATGGTGGACCTTCTCCATAAGGTTAATATGCATAAAAGCGAATCTAATCAACAAGCCTCTCGCTTTATGTGAGACTCTAAAACTTATTGATGGCTTTTCTAGTTATGATGCCACTGAATACTATCAAGTCCTTGGTTCTCACTAGGTTGGATGTTAGCTTTGTTCTGAATAAACTTGTATAATTTATGCATAGTCCATCTTTCATTCATTGGGTTGCTATTGAAAGAATTCTTCGGTACTTGAAAGGAACTTTCCATTATGGTCCTTTTCCTATCTCGCTCATTCGCTCTCTTTCTCTCTCTCTCTCTCCCCCTCCATGCCTTTACAAATGTTAATTAGGAATGGGATGTTATCTTATTGGATTCCAATCTTAGTAGTTAGAGCTCAAAGAAACAAGCCATTGTTGCTCGATCATCTACTAAAGTAGAATACGGAGCCATCACCTCTACTACTCGTCAAACATAATTGGCTAACCAATTTAATTGGTGGACTTGGTGTGTCACTCACTTCCGTACCAATCCTCTACTCGTGACAATATTAATGCCACTTATTTATACTTTAATCGATCCTTCACTCTCACATGAAGCACATAGTCATTGACTTTCATTTAGTCTTTGATCGGATCGCTAACAAATTCATTAAGGTCTCTTATGTCCACTCCTTTTATAAATTTTTGATTCGCTCACAAAGCCCCTCGCTCGTCATCTTTTCCAACAACATCATACTAGGCTTAGCATTCTTCTTGGACCCTTGTGTTTATAGAAGCATGATAAAGTACTAAGTTAGAATGATGGACCATCAAGCAATGGACTTGATAACGTCCCAAATCAAAGAATTACAACTCGTATAAACTTTTTTTATGCGCATGTCTTTTGTAATCTTTATATGTATTAGCTAGATACTACTTTCTATTATAGCTCATAGAAATCTGCATTTATATTGCAAGTTCTTTGTTAATAAAGTAAGCGAGTTCATACAAAAAAAAAACCTTTACCTTCTCCCCTTCTTTTTATTTTATTTTATTTTTTTGTTAGATCTATCTAGGGTTCCTTCTCACAATCTTGATTTCTTTTTCACCCTTTCTCTCTCTCAGCATTACGGATTTGGTGTTTGAATCTTACTTGATAGCCAATTACAATTCATCGTGATCGAACGCTTGAACTTTTAAGTAACGTTCGCTATAGTCTTCTCTCACTTTTGAAGTTTTTAATGGAATTGAAAATTATAGTTGCCATTGGATCTTTTAAAAAATGTGAAATAATTGATCGTTAATAGCAATTTATTGGTTTGTTATAAAAACACCTCCTATGGTTAGTGTTTGAGCGAGTAGATAATAGGAGGAGAAGAGAGAGAGAACGATTAAAAAAAAATGGGAAGAGAATCTCGTTCGTTTCGTTTCGGTTATCATCACCACATTTTCACCTCCTCAAAATACCCCCAAAAAGGAGAGAAAAGAAAAGAAAAGAGGAAAAAAATGGGTCTAGACTAGGACGGACAAGTGCCAAACATTGGGCTAGATTAATAATAAAAAAAAAGAAAATATCGGAATAGGAAAAACCCTAGACTAACCCTAGATACACTCTATAAATATCTTGCATTAAAAAAAGAAGAAGAAGAAGAAGAAGAAGAACGCACACTCGTCATTTAGAAAAAAAAAAAAAAAAACCTAGCAACCGAAAAGGACTAAAACAACAACCGATTAAATTGTCGGATATTGACACTTACTAGACTAATAGAATCTTCCAGCCATAATGAGTATAGTGCAATAAGAATTGCTCAATTTTAACCACCGAAGAGGCTACACTCATCGTCCGAAGTTCCGCCATCCGTGGTGAACTTTTATTCAATTTGGTCTCCGAGACTCTAACTTGGATAATTACGCTCTTGTATTTCGATTTTTTGATTTAATCATCATTCAAATTTTATTATATTGCATGGTTACTTGATTGATTAATATGCTTTTCATGCAAATTACGTGATCAAGATGGAATTCAAATGATTATAGGATTAAAACATCTTCATTAAAAGGGTAAAATTGAAAAAAAAATCAAAATTTGTTATTCTTTGTAGTTTTTGATAGATTTAAAAGGCATCTAAATTCAACCTTTTTTGTGATAGTTGTGTTTTCTTAAACTTAATCTGATTGTGTTAGGGTTTTATAGTTTTTAGTTTACTTTATTGTTATCTTTAATTTTCTTTTTATTTATTTGTTATTATTTTTAATAAAAAAGGGTAAGGGTTTGTCATACTACATAATATTTTTATTTTTTTACATAAAAGTATTTGAAGAGCTCGTTGGTTGATGATAAAGCTAGTAACAAGTTATCAATTTTAAAAAAATAAAATAAAATAAGCCAACATGAATTGATAGGTCGAGGACTTGTGTGGGGGCTTATTGGTTATTTTTCATGTTGTCGTTTTATGTGATTTGTGATTTTTGCATGTATTTATTTTATGTGATGCCAATTTGGATCGGTCTAGATGGAGTAGTTTTAGAACTCGAGATTAATTTTATTCCAATGACGATCCTTTTGATTATTGTTGTTGTTGTTATTTTTTATTGGGTTTAATGTTTATTTTATTTTATTTTCTTGGCAACACTAATTTTGTTGTCTTGCAAACTTGGCTCTAAAATAAACCCGGAGCCTCTAGTCCAATTTTATTATTTAAAAGGTGACATGACGGATGGATATAGACTTAAAGCCTATGATTATATTCTTTAGTTTATTTCATCTTGGGTTGTAATTTTTAGTACATGGTTTGACGGATGAGTTCGGACCTAAGGTCCAAGCTCAATTTATTTTTATGTCTTTGTGTAGGACTTAGGTTAGTTAATTGGCAATAGATTTAGAGACCTAACCTTTACCTTTCTAAGTGAGCTCCAATGACTTAATGACATATTAGGTGAGAGATCGAGTCTTCTTTCGGTTTTCAAATCACCTCAATTAGAGGTCGATTAAAAAATATTCAAATAATCTAACTCATAAATTAGGATAAACAAGTAGATATGTGAATGAACTTGAATGAATGAATTCTCTTAAGCTAGAAACACAAAATAATCTCATTGTAAAGGCACACTAGGGTGACTATAGTCTTTCCTAATTATGTAATCAACTCCTTTATTTAGAACTCTTAACACCAATGCTAGTTGTTGTTGTTGTTGTTGTTTTTTTTTTTTTTAGCTTTCACGTTTTTGAAAACTAAGTTAAAACTAAGTGATGATTTTGTATTTTCAAACTTATACATTTTAGTTTTATTTTTTACGATCATCGAGAGATCATTGTGTAATTTTAGTTAAAAAAATACTATTTAATCATCTCTGGTCAGATGGTTGGAGTTTGAGAAGATGAAAGAAGAAAGAGAGAGAAGGGCTTAGAAAAGAGAATAAAGATGGCTGCCTTTTTTTATGGAGAAAAAGAGAGCGAGTGGAATATTCATTATGATCTAACTCGATTTTGAAATTTGATTTTTTTTTGGAAGAGGGAAAGCATGTGTGAGGAAACAATGCATTGATGCCGCGTGTCAATTTTGTAGTGTTGCATGTGTGATAAATGCTGAAATATTAATCGGAAATGTCTATTATTTACTAAAAAAAAGCACATAATTTTCAAATTAAATTTTTTAACATTATAAGCATATTTTAATTTGACCTATGACGAATATGCAAGCCCTTTTCCACATCCATAGGCCTGGTCACTCGAGAAGCTCTTTACCTTTAATTTGACCTATGATGAATATCTAAGCCTTTTTCCATATCCATGGGCCTGGTCACTTGAGAAGCTCTTTACCTTTGTGTGTAGTGTTTATTTATTTTATTTTTTTCTCTTTTCAGTCTTGCATAGGTATAACCATCGTTCTACTTTCCTTGTTCAGCTATGAAAGCTTCTCATTATGGCAGCCTAGGTCATCCCAATCGGAGATTTTTCTCTCTTCATGAAATCTTAATTCTCCTATTCGAGAAAAAGAAGAAAAAAGAAAAACATTTCAAACATGCCATGCGATTGACATGAATCATCCACACCATGTTGGTGGCATGATATCCCACCCAAAAATGAAAATGTTTGGAGAATTTATTTTTGGCAAAAAGCGAGGGCCCTAACATCACGAAGAGGATCCACGCAGTGGCATGTCTCGTAGTTATGCTTCCTCTCCTGTTTTTTTTTTCGCGGTCATGTCTAGTACTGCACATTGTGAAATCTTTTCAAGTACATAAAAAGTATGGTCACCTCAAGTTTCCCAAGTACAAAACCACCATGTTTCGCAAGCCATCCAGAATACTTCACAACGTACACTACATAAATACATGTAAAGTTGCATAAAAGGCTAGCCATGCTTTACGGACACTTTTTTAATGATGATTATTCATACATATTAAGTGGCCAAGCCACTCAGAACAACGAGTTATTATCCGATATTCCTCAGCCTCCACGAAACAACGTTAATATTTCGTTTCTTTTGAAGCCTCGTTTTGTACGTCCATAGAAAATAAATGAACAGAAAAATTGGGCAATGCATCCAAGCAACCTTGAGAAGACGAACACAAATCGCTGGAGAGCTACAGAGGTTTCCATTATGCAATTTAATTGTTTAGAACACTATGCGTCACATAAGTTTACAAATTACTACTGCTTGGTTTAAAATCAATATAAAGAAGCTGAAAAAAAAAACGCAAAAGGTACACACCCAATCTAAGATGGCATGCTGTTTCGCGGGCCACCAAGTCATCATAAGTTTGGCACATTATTACACTTACTTGTGCAATATACTCTTCTTCGAAAGCTTCGGTTTCTTATGATTGTGGTTCTGCCAAGGTCATAGAAACAAGACTTCTGCTTGAGAAAACACCCGAGGTAATGGAAGAAGATAAATTGATCGTGATAAAAACAAGAAAAAGTACCTTTTGTCTTCCTAGTGCTTCATAATCTGTCCTCTCCTTCCAGTTGCTCTTCCGTAATTTGATGGGCCGATTTCCAACATATTTACCTGAAATCAAGGTTAAGAAAAACATGAACATACTAACACAGTTCCAAACCACTAAAATTTCAAAACCAGAGGAGAAAATACTATGATGAATTTCATCCCTGGAAAAAAGGAATTAAAAAACCCAAGGGAAGATCGATTCAAGATCTACATGAGTTCAAGAACAAAGGATGGACAATGCACAGTGGTCACCAGGTACTTACAATAGATTAATAGTTTTAATTTCAAATATAAGAAATCCCTCCTTTTCTCAATATCATCCATATGCATAAGAGCAGAAGATGGCTGATAAAATTCTAAATCATTAAGCAAGATGTGAAGTCTTCTCTTCAATAGATGGTTTGTTTAGTGACGGAAAAATGATCACGTACCCATTTCAAAGTTAAAGAGTTAACTAACAGCCTTTTAGCCACTTTGTTATATTGGAAGTGAAAAAATACAGCCACAGAGATTTCTATAAAAGGGCCCAAACACTTGTTCCCACCCACCCTTTTCTCCTCCTCATAACAGAAACAGACGCAACAGCTCAGACCAAAAAGAAGAGAGAGAGAGAGAGAGAGAGACTATAGCTGACTCACCATTCATTTCCTTAAGTGCAGCAGCAAGGTCAGTAGGGTTGGCAAAGCTAACAAATCCATAGCCCTTGGTCTTGCCAGTCCGCTTATCCCTGACAACCTATTATGAGAGAAAGTACATAAGCATATACGGTAACAGTTGTAGCTTCCAAAAAAAGATGGAACAAAAGGAAAGGGCACAGAATACAAACAGCAAAAACATGATAGCAAAAGCATGCTGTGTGCCGATGCACAGGCACACAGAAGAAACATGCATTATCAACATAACCAGAGCCCAAGTCTCCTGGCCACCACACGCATTGAAGATGAGGTAACAAAGAATAAACTCAAACAAGCAGAGGCAGAGAGCATCATGGTCAAATCCCCAAGTGTTTAAAATTTGTAGCTTATTTCAACAACCAATCTTCTATGGCAAACCTCCCTTTTAGACTCACATACCACAAGACGATTTCAGAAAACGTAAGATGCAAAAGTCCTTAAGGATCATTCCAACCAAATGCAAGAAGTCTACATGGAATACAACTAGCCTGGCCTAATTTAGTCTGCTCATTTGAGGTGAATCTTTTGAAGGCTTTATTAGATTTCTCCATCATACTAATAAAACAAAATAAATCTGTTCAAGACAAAAATATCGAAGCTGATACAGGTTGCTTGGTCGAAGAGGTTAAACCAAAACATGAAACCCAAGCATTCTGGAGAGCCTAGTCAGATCTAACAATGGTACTAGCCCTAAAAGGTTCGATGCAAACTGGAAAACATCTAGGGAACAGCACCCATATGCTTAGAGGTTATAGAAAATTTTGTGGAGAGCAAAAGATCTCAAAACTCAGATTTCTAAAGAAACCAACATACAGAACCCACTTAAAAAGATTTTAATGGGTTACTAACCTGACTCCAACTTGTTCAAATCAAGACAACCAGCAATACGATTCACTTAGTCTGCGAGTTATGTGAAAAAATAACCTACACAAGCTCCAGAAGTCAATTCCAGTAGTCCATATCCAATATTAAATTATCAAACCTGAAATTGCCTATCCCAGATACGTTGCATACAAAAACATAATATTTCAAAAAAAATATCCTTGCTATGGAATCCAAATTAATGCTGCGGCATATCAACTAAAATGTCAAAAGACATCAACAATTTTAGAATGAAAATGCACACGAGATCTTATATTGTTCCATCAATTTGCAATTTGTAATTATTAACACGGTCAGATGTCCAATAAATACACAGATTGTAGACAAAGCCTACCTTAGTACACAGAAAAATACTGCTCTGTGCGCTTCACAGAAAAATCTGAACAGGAAATATAGAAGTTTCACAGACTAGGCAAACAATATCCATACAAAAGAAATCAAGAAATCACGTGAAGCAGCAACTTACTCTGGCCAAATTAAAAGAAGGAAACCTCGAAAATGCTTTTGAAAGAACATCATCATTCACCTCATTACCGAGATCACCACAAAATAGGCGGTAGTCATCTGCACACAGAATGCCAGCCCAATTAGAACACCTCAGAGATAAGAAGCACATGAAACACAGTGAAGAATTAACAAAATCTATATCAAGAAAGACCATTACTGTGGTTAATGAAAAGATATATAACAAAGCTCAAAAAAAAAAAAAAAGAGGTGAGAGACGAAACATACTTTCAGGCCATTCTGCAAGAGTTGGATCCTCCCACGTCTGGCCAGCAGCTTTGCGAGGAACTGCTTTCTTTTTAGTTTCTGCTTTATGTTCAATCTCACTACTCGCAAGGGCAGCTTTTACACTCTCAAGTGCTTCAGGTGTAATCGTTTGGGCATCCCTCTGAAATAACTGTTGCGCCTGTTCAGAGACACTACAAAATTATTCACCCCGAAAAGAAAGAAAAACAAAAGCAAATGCACCCGTGTATAACAATAAAATCATCATTATCCAAAGAACAAATATCACTCCATGGATAAATTAGCCCAAATTCAAACATAAATTACGACTTACTTCAAATTTTCGTTTATCTAACATTAATGAATTCTGAACCATTTAAACTAATATATATCAAAACCAAAAATTCACTACTCAATTTTCACATTACCAATCATCCAAAATATATATAAAAAAAACCCTAATTAACAACAATTCATAAAAAAAATCCCGAAATTCAGCAGGCACATATATAATTGCTGACCTGCTGATACTGGGGGAAAGAGTAAACGGGCCCAATCGGGGCAGGCGGGTAAACGGTAGGAGGTGGGGCCACATAGGGTTTGGGGTAAGGGTCCGATTGCTGGAGGTGAAAAGGGGTGGGGAAATACGTGCCGTTTGCTGCTGTTGCTGATGTTGATGCTGCGTATGTGAATTGCTGTGATGTTGAAGAAGATGGTGGGATCGACATTGATTCTAGGGATTGAAAGAACGGCTTGTCGTTTGGGTGTATTAGAGAGATTTTGCGCTGGCTGGATTGAAGTAAAAGGAGAGGCAGAGAGAGACTCGAATGATTTAAAGAAAGAAAGAAACTGAAAGTTCTGGAGGTTTGTGGGATTTACTTGTTTTGATGACGTGGATTTTCTAATTTGGCTAGAATCATGATCAGTCCTTGAACTCTTACAAATTTATTAATCTACACCTTCTCATCTAATCCTTATTAGGAATTGTAAATATTCGCTATGGATCAGATCGGAGGTTCGTTTAACACCCACCTCCATCCCTAATTCGTTGGAGACAGCTCTGATGAGGATTCTTGTAATGTTCATACATTATGTATCTATATCAGTTTTATATATCTCATAAAATTACATCCTAAAAAATTAAAAATATAAATTTAAAACAAAATCTTATAACTTATATCAGCATTTATTTTTTTTGTACAAATAATAATCAACATCATGCTAGGAAATAGGATGGTAATAATTTAACATTACACCAATTCGAAAAAGTAATAAAATTTAGATGAGTCAATAAATAATTATTGATATTTGCTTTATGTTTATTTTAAGGAGAAAGACAAACGCAAAAATTCATCAAAAATTATAAAAATATTTCCACTTAGATTCAAAAATATTTTGTTTAATTGTTTTCTTGTATAAATTTCTCAGCATCACAATTAAATTTTTGTACTTTTTCTCTAAAAAAAATTCTTTTATAATGAAATTTTAGTTTTCTTAAAGAAAACAAAAGAAATATTTAAATCTTTTTATAAGATTTGTGATGAATACACAAATAAAGGGACATGTATGGTAGGAAAATAATATTTTAAAAAAGCTTAAAAAAAGTTGTGAATTGGAATAGGTAAGCCTCGTATCTAGTCTCAATTCTACTTTGAATTTGATCCCCATTAAAGTGGATAGGTAACCTAATACAAATAAAATAGGTAATATTAGATATCTTTAAGTTAGTGAAGATGTTTTGGACCGTTAAAGTCGATTGCAAGAGCTTATTAGAAATTCGAATCCAATGACAATTCAAAACATTGATTAGCATTTTGATCATATTGTAATTTTAGGCATTGAATTGAAGTGATTAAAAAATCTAGAAGAAAAACATCCAGAACTATAATTTTTATGAAAAGTGTGAGTCCAAAATTAATATCCATATGATCCGAAATTAGTTTGGAAGTTCCTTTACAAAACTTAAAGTCTCATCCAGCAACAAGTTCAAAATTAATTTCAAAAATAAACCTTAGAGATAGGTTTATAAGCTGTCATATTTATATCTTGATATTTATAAATAGCTTCTGAGATTACTCTATAGAGGACATAATCTTTTATATAATTTAGGATTTTATGTGTTATATAATGTCTAGCTTAATTTTCTTAATTCAATTTAAGGAATTTCAATTTCAATTTTTACAAAATTGTGAAACACGGGTTTAATATTTCAACTATTTTTTTATGATTCAAAAGCCTATTAGTTGATTGTCTATTATAATAAATGCTAACTAACTTTTTTAATCTATAATTGTTATGAAAAGTTAGTGCTAACTAATTTTCTTAATCCGTAATTGTTTTGAAAAGTTAGTGCAAATAGCAAATTAGGTTTTTATAATTATGATCAAGGTTTTCATGAATACTTAAGGAAAACAAAGAATGAATTTAACAATCTTAAGTGTCTTAAAATTGTTCTTAAGATTGTTGTTCAGTCTTAACTTCTTTTTAATTTGTAATGCTATTATTAATTTGACTAAGATTACTTAATACCAAAATCAATTAATAATAAAAATTTACTTTGAGCGTTGGTCTTTGAATTAACGAATGTAGGAAAAATTCAAATTTATTCTACCATCTAAGTAAGTCTAGACTAACTTTGATAAGAGAATAATAATTTAGATATCTATGATTAATCTACGAATTGAATGTGTAATTTCCCTTTGAACTAAAGTTTTTCTTAATTGAAGTTTTTTCTATTTGATTCTTGCTTTATTTATAATTTGGCCAAGTAAACAAACTCTCCTTTTTTATTCTAAGTAAACAAACTCTCCTTTTTATTTTAAGTTAACATAATTAATTTACTAGTCTCTCGGGTTCGACTTAAACTTGTAACTACTACAAGCAGCAACTACAAATTATTAAGTAATTTAAATTTAGTGAGTTCGACACCCATCCGTTACATGCATCTTGACAAATTGCCTGCAAAACTTTATGTCCACATCGACTATCATATGTGTAGAGAATAAGTTGTTAATGTCCATGATGTAAATAGAATTGGGAAACAAAGTTCATGCATGAAATAAATTAATTAAAACTGGGTAGATTAAAATATAATACTTGGAGTTAGAACTATGGGTTGAGCACGATAGATATGCAATGCATCATGGAAATGATGTCCTCCGATATGTTAATTGATCCCAATATCTAGATGAAATCTTGTTCCGTTCTCTTCTTGACCATTCCAAGGGAAAACTTGTATCACATAATGTACACTCAAATGCAACATAATTTACACAAGTAGAAAAAAAAATGTCAACTGTGGCATGAGGGTCATAAAACTAGGGCAGGGAAAATGTGTGTGAAATTACGAGGAGTTTTCTGGCAAAGGGAGGTATTGTATGTTATGATCTTCCTTCTTTGTTGGATTCTGACACGGATAAACAAGGTGGATACCAAACTTCTTCACTTGAAAAGAAGATGGCAGAATTACTGAACACGCCACTGAATCACCAGTTTCTAACATGTAACTAAGTGTCCAGTGGCTTAACCACAACATATCCTCGTTGGCTTCTGGAATTCCAAAGATTTCTGGGCTATACTCGAAATCTTTATCTTTGGCTTCAATTCTAATTTTGGCACTACATGGAATACCAAAATTACCTCTCTAGTCACAGCATGTGTACACAACAAATATGTTCAAACCACAGATATCGGGATAAGAACCTGAAGGTATGCAATAACGTGCATGGCATGTTCCTGTCAAGAGACAGGACCAATCTGGAATCTCACGCACGGCTACATATATGTTACGTATGCCACCATCATGAAATACCTGTGGATGCGAAACACAGTTTACAAAATGCACCAGAAAAGAAACGCCAAGAGCTTGGTATACATATATGATGTTGAACAATAATATAGAGAACACATAATTTCGTTTCAAATTTCATATTATATATGAATATGAATGTTTAAACGGTACCTTAATATAAAATTAATGTAGTATTTTAAATTTATTATTTTTTAAATGTAATATATAAGTATCAAAATTACACCTATAATTACGATGTTTGAAGTCACTTTTTTATCTTCTTTGATAATACTAATCACTCATCATTGTTATCCATATAAATTGTATTACTTTAATCGGTATATGATATTTCTGTCAGCATAATTATTTTCAAAGTATCCATGAATCCTGAAATAGAATTTCATATTTGTTAAGTTTGGATGTATTTGATAATTAAAAGATATGGAGGTAGAAAGCAATCGGATCAAGATCCCCTATACGGATCCGATACAAGTAGTTGAGGGATTTTGAAATGTTCATTTTACTAGGCTAATTAAATCGTTATTCAGAATTCACAAATGAGGCATTGATTTTTACTAGTTTTACTTTTTCTATTTAAGTCAATCTTTGATTAAAACTTTAAACATTCATTGAATCGGTATGCCACATATCAGGTCAAATTATACACAAGTATTTGATCAGAATCCTGACATTTCTGTGTACCATAGACACGTGCCAACGGTTTCTTCTAGTAAAACACAACAATTGCATATGATAGAAAATCATGTGTAATTGCACATGACAGATAGCAAGAACAACTTTTTTATATACGGCAAGATAAAGGCTTCTGATCATAGACAATGACAGGAAGCAAAGGGCTCAAATTTAAAAAAAAATTTCTTGAATGTTAATATATATATATATAGAAGCATGGAGTTACTTTTGAACCGAATAAAATGCACATGTAAAAACGAATATATGAAATAAGAAAAGGTAAGAGTGGACCTTGAAGATAGTCTTTCCTTGCGTTGTTGTCATTGCATCAAAATTATTTCCTTGAGTGATTCTTACGGACTCTGATTTCTGCAAACCAACATTATAGATCATCTCCATGTCAAATTGGTTCATTGGATCTAACTTGAACATGCCTTGAAGCTTATCTGGTTCTTCTTTGCTACCAAATATGTAGACATCCAGTAGTCCCAAAAGGGGTCCAAAATTGCTCATTAGTACAGTCTCCAAACTACTTGGTAGGCTTGGAAGTGATTTGAGCCTTGTGCATCGTTGTAACACAAGAGAATCAAGCCTTGTCAAGCTGTTAATGCTTTCAGGTAGGTGCTGAAGTGGATTTTCACTTAGATCCAAAAATTCCAAACAAGGCAATGTACTAAGATTATTGAGCATGACATCATCCCTTAAATTGCAGTCTGCAAGACTTAACTTTGCCAAAGAAGATGGTAAGCAATCAATTAAAGACTTGGTTGATAATGTGCCTTGTCTCATTAACCAAGAATACATTCTTGAAGCCCAGTTTTGAAACTGACTCATGAGAGGTCCATCGGCACAAATCACCCACAGGAATTCCATTTTTTTCAGCTGATTGGGTATCTCATCAAGTTTGGAGCAGCCAGACAATATTAGGCGTTGAAGTGATTTCAACATGCACATTTCATTTGGAAGTCTCTTGAGATTTACACAGTCCTTCAAACTTGCAGAAGTAAGATTTTGTAGGTCTCCAATGGACTTATGAACCCTAGCCAAATTTATGCATTCTTCAAGTATCAATATTTCAAGACCGAGGAGTCCTGAGAAGTCTGGAGTTGTAATTAAACCATGGCAATGACTGAGATTAAGGATTTTCAACACTGGAAAAATCTATTTGAAATTACAAGAAAATAATTAGTATTTATTACTAATTAATGAGAGAGAAAAGAGAGATATGGATTATTAACATACCCGGATTCCATGCCAAACATCTCTTAGACTGCTGTTGCTTAGTTCAAGAACAATAAGATCCTCAAGATAAAAATTGATTGGTATACAATCCCAAGGGACGTGACGCCAACACAACCACACTAATCCTTTTGGAAAATTCTCATAGCCCCCTTTAAGCCTCAAATTATTGAGGTGAGTTAGTTTTAGATTGCCCATGCTTGCAAAAGCATCACTGTTTAAGTCCATCAAACATTTTGAGGCTATGTTTACTTGTTCCCAGTCAAGGATAAAGCTCTTGACGGACCTGGATCCCTGCATTGAAGCAATTGTGTGTATATATATAAGAAGAGAATACAACAATCACAAAGTATGCAGGCAAACTGGTAATTAATGCAAGTAAATATATATAAAATGTTTCTTACAGTTTTTTTTCTCAATATTTTGAATGAATCATTATGGCGCCAAATTCTAGTACGTTCACCATGGTTGTCAGGTGATTCTTGACGGACAATTTCCCTTCCCATATCCCTAAGCAATTGATGCAGTACCAGTTTGTTGTCCTTGTCAACAGATATCAAGTACCTATCAATAAGTTCTTGAATTCCAACATTTCTATAGAAATCACAACTTTCTACGATTCTATATACAAAGGTTATGTCTTCTCCAATGAAGAAACAAGCTATATCAAGAAACAAATTCTTGTCACGGTCATCTTGAAGAGAGTCATAACTTACTCGAAGAATCTTGTGAATTTTACCACCATCTAGGGCTTCCGGTTCTTTTATTGCTCTTTTCCACAAATCTTTAGTTCTATGTGACAGAGAAAAGCCCAGAACTTCAAGAGCAAGTGGTAGCCCTCCACAATGACGCACTACAATTTTAGAGTCTTCCAAGTAATCTTCAATAGGCTGTGCATGTCTGAATGCATGCCAACTGAAGAGCTGAAGGGACTCACTGTCACCAAGAGGCATAATACAAAAATTTTCACAAGGCTGATTATGAAAACTTAGCAAGCGACCATGTCTAGTTGTTATGATTATTTTACTTCCCTTGTAAAGCCAATCCCCCATTGCAATAATTGATTTAAATTGACAAACATCATCTACATCATCAAGAACGATAAGGACTTTTTTGTGCCATGTAGCATGTCTGATTTGAATAATTCCATCATCTACATTGTTTATCTTGTGGATTTCCCCCTTCAACATATCAGAAAGAATTTGCATTTGTAGTTGAACTAAACCATTATATTGCTTCGATGTTTCTCTGACATCTTTTAGAAAACTCCAACAATCAAATTGCTCAAAATTTAGGTTGAAAACAGTTTTGGCAATTGTTGTCTTACCAACACCAGCAAGTCCATGAATTATTGCTATACCAACATCTTCAGGCCTATCTTGTATCCAGTTGTTAATGTCATTCACATGACAATCAATTCCAACTAAATAAGAGGGCACATACAGCATTGCCCTTTTCAACTTTTCTCCAACCTTTTTCACAATATCTTGTATAAATTTTGCCTCATGTCTACAAATAGAAAACAAAATGACTAATAAAGTATAACAGTGAAGATTCAACAATCATTTTAAGAAATTAAGATAATGTGCAAGAAATCAAAGACTTAGAAGTTGGAAATGACTGAATAACAAGCCATAGGTTCAGATTTCAAACACAAAGACCTAAAAACCAATTGGAAAAACCACATGTAAAAAGAAATGGTTTGTCATTGCCTCATTGCTCTTCTTTTCCTCTCTTGTCACTGCCTGATTTTTTCTCCTTTGCTTTACAGTCTTCCAATTCTCTTCTCGTATTGAAGACATTAAAACTCAATTCTTCAGAAACCTAGTTATAGAACTTTTAAGTACTAAAAGCAAAAGAATCTCTTTGACTTTGGTGCCTATACAGGTCCTGTCTCCATATTTCAAGGTATTGAAATGCTTCCTAAACAGCCAGAAACATCTATTTATCAGAACCCACAAATTTATGAATTCCATAAGGAAGCTATTCTATTAAAATAAATTATAATTAAACACACCAATTTGGAGCCAATTATTTAACTCATTAGAATTTGTTAGATTCAGAGCCTAATAAAAAAGTTTGTTTTTAATCACCAAAGACTATTCAGATTAAAATATTGCTCAATGGAATATTACGTTTTCTATATTTTTCCTACTTTATCAGCTCAGTTTCTATCATCTATAGTTCTAAAAATTGTATCTAGTGTTCTACAATGCATATGCGCAAGAACTTGGGGAGCTTGACACAAAAAAAAAAAAAACTCTGCTTTCAATTTTTCAATACATGTAATTGACTAAGTTTTCCGTAATTTCTTTATTTTTCTCTATTCCCAATTAATAAGCAATCCCTTATTTCTAAATCTGATTAATTGTTAATTGGATCTGTAAGCTCTTAAGCTTTTATTCCACTTCCCTCTATTTGACCAACACAAACTTGAGAAAAAACTGAACAACTAAAACACAAATACAGAATGGCCAGAAGATAACTAGATAGCAAGAAGGACAACAAAAAGCCAACCTAGAGGGCATACTCCTTTCAGATCTAATTCACAGTCCAAGCAACTGCCTTATTCGTCCATCCACAAAAAAAAGTAATAATAATAATAACAGAAAAATTGCCTTGGTCATAGTTCTACAGATATTGAGTTCTGGCAACAACTGATATGTTGAGTTGATGACAAATACGTTTTTAGTAGCGAAGTTCTGTAATTTCCATTGACTACAAATCTAACCTCTCTATTAAGTCACTATCAACGGACATAAATGCTCATCCTCTTATTTTTTTCTAGCCTACATTCTTCACTTAAGCAACTGTTTCAACCGCTAGCACTTCTGATGCCTGAACGGAAATGGAAAGCATAAAACTTCCCCTCAAAATCTCTACATATTTTTCTAGTTCATGACATTTTGCTTCCTAAAAATAAGCAATGTAAGAATTAATCAGAATAACTCTAATATGTGAAGGTCATAACTCAACTGCCATAGCTGCATGCTTCATTGGATTAGACCAGAATGGATAAAAATAGCAAGAGAGACCTAAAAAAAATTGCATTTTTCAAAGAAAAAGAAAACCTCTCTGACGATATTAGAGAAACTTTATGAAATAATGATAGATTGAACACATACCAAAAAGAGGATAAAGCATAAGAAAAGGGAGAGAGCAAATCTAAAACAATATCTCGTCTAGCACCAGATATGGGCCTACCTTGTGAGCTCCTAAAGCAGTACTCGATACAGTTGCAAAAAAGTCACTCTACCCCCTCAACAATAGCCCTGAAAATTGAGAATTGCAGTGCAGGCAAGTGATTCATAAATCTAACATAACCTACTTTGATGAAGCGCAATTTGTGTTAGATTAAGAGGAATTCCTAGCTACCCTATGTTCAAATATTTAAATCACCATTCAAGACAATGAGAAACTTAACTCAAATCAACCATTCCCTAATGTGAAACTTGTGTATGATTGAAGATCCATATTAAGTAACGAATTGGTGGTCAAATGTAGCCTAAACTGCCTACTAATTCCTCTCTTTTTTTCTTTTTTGATCCATGATATTTTCTGCATAACTCTTTCAAATTTCAAACGAAGTTTTCAGTTTTAACAATTAATTATAGAACTTGTCTTTTTCTCCATAACAGTTTTCCCAGGTAAGTTATTTCTAGAGAAAATTACCTGTTTTCTAAAACCATTCCTGCCAGATCTGAGATGTTTCGAAGTGCTGACCTCCATCCCTCAATCCTCTCATCTTCATTGCGTCTATAAAATCCTTTAGCAAAACTACCTGTTTGGTTTTGAACTTCTGATGGATCGACATCATAAAATACAGAAAGAACAATGTGGCTTCCAGCAGTAGTCTCTCTGTGTTCCATAATCATCGCAACCTCATCCAGGCACCAGCTTGAAGAAGCAAAATCTCTGGAGAAGACAATCAACGACATTTTTGACTGTCGTATTGCCTTTTCGACTTCACATTCCATAACTGCACCTCTCTCAATTGCATCGTCATCTCTAAATGCACGAATACCTGCCCACTTCAAAGCTGTATATAGATGATCCGTAAAATTCTTGCGGGTATCATCACCCCTAAAACTCAAAAACACATGATAAGAAAATTCACACATTGAGGAGCAGGATTCCTTGATATTAATATCATCCATCTGCCACCAATAACAATCAGAAGATGTGACCAATCTGGAAAATAAATTTTTTTGTTAAAAAAAAATAAACATGAAATTTGCAGCTAAATCAAACATCTAGCGCATGAGTGTTGTACAAATCCTTTGATATTAAGCAACTGAGCTACATTAGTAAATCAAAACACTCTCACCATGCAAAATACCATTTCCATGTCGTGAAAAATAAAAAGACAGAGAGAGGATATAAATACATACCCGGTGTCGCTTTCCCCTGTTTCTGCTGTGTGCCACCGTTCTGCTTTCGGTAACTCGTTATCTGCTTTTGGCTTATAGATGCGCAAGTCAAGTCAACTGTGTTTAAGTTAAGCTTACATGGTTAATTTTTAGGTTTAATGGTTTTTTTTTTTCTCTTGAATTATCGAGGTTGTAACACATTGAGACTTGTTCTATTAATTTAGTTAATTTTATCTTTAAATTATCATGTCTTTGGAAAATGTTGTTTCTCCATTTGATTTGATCATTGTCATTGATAAAAAAAAACTCTTCTAAAAAAATTCAAATTTGTCTAATTAGTTTGATTCTCAAAATATTTACAAGGTTGAATGGGTAATATCAAACTAAATTTAAAATATGTTAAATTTGAGAATCACACATTAAAAGAATTTGAGGACCATACTAAAATTATTTATGTAAACTCATAGGTTCTCGTTAAGGCACTCAAAAAAAAAAAAAAAAAATCTAACTTATTTTCTACTTTTCATAATTTATTGAATTTTTATTGTTTAGAAAATAAATATAAAAATTTTCAAACTTCAAAAAAATTGAAAATTATTTTAAAAAATGGATTGAATTTTCATTAGAATTTATGTTTAAAAAAATCAGTTGAAATACCAAAAAAAAATATTTTAAGGGATTTTTTGCCAACACTGACTGTCAAATTAAATAGAGGGGTAATATTTGCTTCAAACATAATACTTCAAAGAAAAAAAATGATCAAATTGATAGTGCAGACTTCAATGTGTCAGTGCCACAACTTCAATGGTTCAAGAAAAAACATGCCATTGAATATTTAATTGTATATGTCAGTATTGTGTTAATATATTTACGTAATTAACTCTTTTTAATATTGATGAGGTAATGATTTTTGGATTATGATTATTGATGAAATGGTCTTCAAATTTGAATAATTGTACACCGATGATAATTCAATATATGTTGATTTAATAATAAGTACCTATAAAAGAAGTCATTTTTTGGTATTTTGAGGATTATCTGATGACTAAGTTAGATTACGAAAGGAGATTTTTACTCTAATTAGATTTTTAAGAAATTATTTTCTATGTGTAAATGATAATCAATACTATAATTATTTTGTGTTTAAAAAATAGAATTTATAACATTTGATTTATTAACGTTTATAAAAAAAATAACTTGCATAGTCTGAAGGATAGAATAATATCTTTCTTTATGTTAAACAACTCGTGACATTCACTTGGAGAGTATAGAATCTTTTTAAAAAATGGTTGTTATCTAAAAGTACATATATGGTCATAATTTATGATAATGTGACAAAAACATCATAAAAAGTCATGTCCATATTAAATCAATGCCTTTTTTGTCTACCTAACAGGTTTAAGGATTTTTTTTATTCTGAGTCATTCATTTTTATTATTAATCGGATGTTGTTAGGTTGTGATGATTATTGATGGCTAGTCAAGATTGCTCTATTCATAATAATTTCTTATTCAGACGATCTTTAAATAAAATATAAAGATACATATTATAATTACAATCATGTCGATATATCACTATACCATTTTGACGAATGAAGTTCCTTTTCCATTTTTTCGTTTTCCATTAACATTTTCTATATGCTTTTTAAGACCTTGTTGCCAAATAATTGTTAGCTTGTTAGATTATTGACAAGTATCCAAATCGACTAGCTTTGACTTGACCTTAAGATTAAAAAAAAACGATAGAAATAGAATTTCAAGATAATTTTATAATTTAAATATATATATATATATCATAAGCTAACCAGTGAGGCAGAGGGAGAGGAAATGGATCGGCACTTAGCCGAGGCAGAGTTGGAGGCACGCTTGGTGAGGCATGAAGGCTCATCTAGTGGAGATGGGAAAAAAGATAATTGGATTTGGGGTTTATATTAATGGAAAAGAAGATAGATTTATAGTTTTTGTTCATTTATCAAGTGTTTAATTTTGTATTTGTATTGACAGTTGTTGGATTCCAACTGAAGTCTGATTCAATCAAGTTTTTAGGTCAATGAATCACGGGTTAATCTAATGGATTCCTGATATATATGATAGTTTTACTAATTCGAATATGCATAAGTATCATAAATGTATCTTTGGCTGGCTGTTAAAATGACATTGTTTTAGCTAATAGATAAAACTTTTTCTAATTTGGCTAAAATCATGGTCGGTCCTTCGACTTTTAAAATTTTCTTAATCTACCCTTTCTAAGCTAATGCCCCAAAACCGCAACTAATGGTCATGTCATATTAGGTTTTTTTTTCTTTCCCTTTATAGCTTTATAACATTAATGTTACTTAATTACTGGCACTTAGTAATCCAAGAATACCATTCAATCATCACTTTTTTGTACTCAATTCATTTAAGTTAAGTAACATGTATTAATTAACAACCATATTAAAATACTTGTGTTTAAAGTGATTTTAAAAAATAAAAAAACAATGTATGGATATGAAAATTATATCAATTTTAATATATAATAATCAATTAATATATATAATTTAATATCGTCACTTTTTTCTACTCAATTAATTTAAATTAGGTAATATGTATTAATTAACAATCATATTAAAATAGATATATTTAAAGTGATTTAAAAAATAATACATGAAAATAAAAATCATATCAATTTTAATATATAATTATCAATTAATATATGCAATTTAATATTTAAATGAATGGAGTATGGAGCGGTAGGTATTTGTTGAGCAGGAAAGAATTTCCAGCTTCTAGCATTGTTGAAGTAGTGGAGGTTTTTTTTTCTTTTTTTCAATAGTACTTCCTGCCTCCCGTTCATGTAGATGACAAAATTTGTTGAAGTTGGTTTATCATAGCGTAATCCATTTTTTGTTTGAAAAAGGTCCCATGACATGAACAAATTACCTCAATTTTGACGGGTCAAGTTCTAGGATACCTGATTTAGCGCTTTCTTTCATCTTGTTATATAGTTGCTGCAGTTATAATAGGGAAGAGGAACGCCGAAAACATCTAGCATATGTTAATTCGATTGACCAGAAGTTCAATCTTTACAAACAAAAAGCAACGTATATGTAGATAAGAGAGAAGAAGACAAATCGTTGAACTTGATTTGGGGAGGGTGCGCCAGGCCAATGCAGTAGTGCAACGCAGAGGCGACGCTTGAGAACCCCAATAGCAAGCTACTGATGATGGCTCTCCCCCTAAAAATGTAAATTTAATATCGCGTGAGCCATATCAGATATTAAACTGATAAGAACAGATACTACACTTGATCGTAGCCAAAAGGCCGAGAAAGGTATGAGTTTCTACATTCCAATGAATTCATTTTACATAGCGATTTTGGTTTTAGCCTTCACTTCTTTGTCGATGTGGGAGAAACAGAACAGGCCTTGAAGAAGATAACAAAGGGAAATCTGATGGGTTAATTAATCAAATAATGCTTCTATTGTTGCTCCTCCATGGCACAAAATACAGACTAGGCGAGTAAAACTTTATCATTGTCAAATCTTAACAGGTGGTCTTCCCAAGCTTTGGAGAGTGTTACCCATCTCTGCTTTTAAACAGTGCAGAGGAGGCTGAAAATAAGATTATTGAGCCTTGAACTGTTATGGTATTAATCATTTTCGCAGTGGTTTTTTTTTTTTTCTTTTGGAACAAAATAGGTGTATAGGATGCAAAAAAAGTGGAGGCCTTTTTGCTCTATGTATCTGTATGGACAAAATGCTTGTGGGATTAAATTAGAATTGTCATCATAGTGTTGTAAGATCGATAAAGTTCAATTTATATGAATTTCTTCTGTTCGTTCTATATATTTTACCTTTTTTCTTTCTTTCTTTCGATGGTTAGAAGCTTCCTAAACAGTACACTTTTTCAAACGGAAGTAAATGAATTTCTTTGCCTGATCGTTCTATACGTTTAACCTTTTTTTTTCTTTCTTTCTTTCAATGATTAGAAGATTTCTAAACAGTACACTTTTTCAAACAGAAGTAAGCAGGGGCCAAGAATTGTCAGAGTCCCCTTTTAAGTGTCTGACCTATTTTGAATGGGCCCAGATTTGATTGTCGAACCTTGAGGTAACACTCTCAAATTTGACTCGGAGGCTTTTCTGCTTATATGGATTTATAACAACAAACAACTTAGTGGTTTGATCATATTGCCAGATCAAACCCACGATTACAATGTTTACCTTTTAATAAATTATTAGACTACAAAAAATCGAGCAATAAATTTTTAACAAGAATTGGGCAGGGGCCGCGACTTGCGCAGCCCCCACGATCACAAATTATGACGCAGGCTCTCCCACTTGGGGAGACCTTAGACCAGCACCCCTCCGGAGTGCAATGGAGGTCACTGACCTAGACCATGGGCCTTCTTGATCGTCCATTGATCCCGTCCAGGTAAGTATGTTTCACGTCGCTGTAGGCTTCTTATTTATATCCGTACGACTTGTCTAGACATCTTGTTTTCCTCAATGTGGGATAGTTAATTTGAACGCGGAGTGATGCTTCCTTTCAACCCTGCTGCTGTTGACACTTCTTTCTTGCTTCCAAGTTCGATTGATTGGTAATTAAAACTAACATTAAGGTTACTTGGGACTGGGGACTTGGATTTCGTTTTGTGAAGCTAAACACTGATTAGTAGGTGGCAGTGTAGTAGCTCAATTACACAATACAGAATGGAGGACCAAATTAACTAGTCTATCATCTCAAGTATCAACAAATGAATGCAGGATGATATATATTCCTTTGCTTTACAACATTAGTGGATGAATTGTTGCCTTGTAGAAAATTAAAAAAACATCTTGAGTTAATGGCCGGCAGCCCCACTTTGCACCGTGTTCTCGTATACTTGCTGATTTTTGTTTGGAAGTTGATAACTTCCTCCATCGCTAGCTCAACATCATGTTTTCCGTTTTGATGGTTAGAAAGTAAAATTCTGCAGACTTTACATGGAAACCTGGACATCCAGCCCAGGCCTGTGCTTTTGCATGTCATATTTCTTTGGATAGAGTATGTTATTTGATGAGGCAGTAGATCATCGATTGGATGAACGGTTATATAGTACCTTCATTTTACTTAGATAAATACGAAAATAAATACCATCGATAATATACTTTTAAATTATAACAATATACTTTATGCTAATGCTAATTTAGCCATTGAAAAGCCCTCCAAGACCAAGCTAATCTAACCGTTAACTAAGGAAAAAGCTAATCTAACCGTTATAAAAACTTCTCCTTTTATAAGTGATGCAAAATTATAAACCGATGACAAAGATGATTAGATTATTGTATATCCAAAGTGATGTGTAATATATTATTGATTTGCTTTTACAAACATTATATATTGTTTCAATAAAATAATATAGTCTGCACATTAACTTAGTTATCTGTAACATATTCAATTATGATAATATTTGTCGCTACTTAATATTTAAAAGGCTTTCAAAAATTTTCTAGTTATAAATGAAAGGAATTAAGAATAAAATTTCAGAGTAGCCACGTAGTATTAAAGTTAATTAGACAACTTAAAAATAACATTGGATTCAAAGACTCGGGTAAAAAATTGGTTATGTTTTTTTGAAAGATAACAATAACTCAAGGCACCCTTTTCGAATAAAAATACCAAGTTAGTTTAATCATAAAAATTTCTCCTAAAAATTATGTTTGTCAAATTATTTTCTAAATCTATTTCTAAATTTATTTATCATCTAAGTCAAATTAATTTTTCTTTTTTATGATAGCATCGTATTAAATTGATGTCGAGCCACAACATTAAAAGTCACGTCAATTTAGTATCGGATCTAATTACACGTCGATATAACCGAGCATGTCGAGAAATAACCTAATTAACTAAAGGTGTTTAAATTGATTTGTATTTATAATAGCCAATTTTCTTCTTTTTTTATACAATTTTTTTATTAAGAGTCTAAACTAACATCGGTCCCTTTTTAAACGGAAAACTCATTAGGTCAACTTAAATTTCTTAATTACCATAAGAAGATGTATTCTTTTCTAATTATAAACTAAATTCAGTATGAGGTCGTCATTAGTCCCTAAAACCTAAGAGATTTGACAATCTCACATCTAACTAAATGAATTTAAACTTAAATAATTAATAAGTAAATTGAATTATAAACAAGACATAACGAGAAAATAACGAAATAAACATCAAATAAAATCTAAATTCAACAAAAATTTACGAGACAACCTATTAATATATATGCACATGCCCCCTAAAATTTTAGATTAAAATGAAATAAGAAATTGGACCAAGTAATTAAATTCTAAAACAAACACCCTTAATAATTAACATAATAGCAGAATAATAAATAAAATTGTAAATAAATAGCAAATGGATTCCTAAAATTACAAAAAAAAAAAATTAAAAAGCCAAGGACAAGTATATGTACAAACGCTAAAAATTTTAGATTAAAATAAAATTAGATACTAGATCAAATAATTAAAATTTGAAACAACTCACACTAATAATAAAAATAACAATAGAATAGTAAATAAATATCAAATGGACTTCTAAAATTAAGATATTTTTTTTAAAAAAAGCTAAGGATAAGTATATATATGAATCCTTAAAATTTCAGATTAAAATGAAATTGGATACTAGATCAAATAATTAAAATTTTGAAACAAACCACATTAACAATTAAAATAACAGCAAAATAATAAATAAATAGTAAATCAACATCTAAAATTACAAGATTTAAGAACAAACTAAGAACAAACCTATGTATGAATCATAAAAATTTTAGATTAAAATTAAATTGGACACTAGACCAAATAATTAAATTTTTGAAACAATGCACGTTAATAATTAAAATAATAGAATAATAATAAATACATGGTAAATGGTTTCCTAAAATTACAAAATTTAATAAATAGGCTAAGGACAAATATATATACGAATTCTAAAAATTTCAGATTAAAACAGTTAAAGCAGACATGTCAAAATGAATGAAAACCAAAACTAACCTTGGGATTAAAACTCTATCAATTTCACCCCCAAATCCATCCACATTATGGACATAATCGCAAGGAGACCTTATTAATTGCCAAAATGAAAGGACCCTATAACTTCGAGGACTGTAATTTAAAAACCAAAAACCACTTTCCCTCCATTTTTGAAAATGAACTTAAGCTTACGTTAATGGGCGACTACAGTGAAAAAAAATGTCCACCCTTTTTGCGATTTGTGTGGGTTTTAACTTCAAAAAAGTCATCCTCCTCCATCATATACTTATGAAATTTGAGATAAGATTGTTCTTCATCCAACCCTTTCAACCTAGGATGAGTTTTAGAGAAAGAACGAGAAGGAAGTCATGGAAGAAAATTTTTACCTCTTGAAGTTTCTATCTGTAGAATTGGCAATGAAACAGAGAGGAAAATTCAAGGATGGAATCTTCTTCCGTTTCCACTGTGAAGAAGAGAAGGTTGCCAAAGCTTGAGAGAAGAAAAAGAACAACAGTAGGTTTTTTCCTTTTCTTCCAAAAAATCTGAAACCAAAAAAAAATATCTTCCTTTGTTTTATTACCAGCCAAGAACCAGGAAGAAATCTTTCCCTGAAAACTCCCTCTCTTCATTCTCTCTCCTCGAACCCTCTGGTTTGCTCTTTTTTTTTTCCTCGAAACACTAAACTGAAAACCTCCCTCTCTATGATTTTCTCTTCGTTTATATACCCCTTTGAAGCTTTTAATTTTTACCCTTGGATCCTCTAAGCTTCATCTCGACCCTTCCTTTTTATTGTACTAGTCCGCGCTTTCCTCCTTTTTTTTTCTTGTTACTTTCATTTCTCTCCTTTGTTGCAGACAACAACACAGTGGAAATCAAAGAATGCAGGGCAAGGACCTGGCCTGGAGGGGGTGGGTCAGAGAGAGGGAAAGGAAAGACGAGGTACAACGCCAACTAGAGGAGGAGAGAGGGTTTTAGGACAAAAGCCAACCT